ACTGTTACTTAGCTGACAATCAGAAAGCATATCTAACTGCACTCCATTCTGAGGAAGATCCTCGTTAAAGCAGTTTTTGAAAAACTTTGATAACAAATTTAAGAATAGATGAAGGAACTGTCATGACATAGACAACAGTGATCTGATAAGTTTACAATCCATTTGAACATCAGTATCTCCCACCATCAGAGCATCCCCCATTGTTCTACAGCCAAAGACAACAAGATCCAAGAAGGATCTTAACACTCACTAAATAAACCAAACAATTTGATGATTCTTGTGTTGCAGTCAAAAGTTTGACTGAAAAATAATTAAACTTTTCAATTTTTTACCAGATACAACAGACTGAGCACATTTATATGAAAATGACCTTGTATGCAACTTTTACCTTGTTCCAAAAGTGTGTAACAAACTGCCATCTGGACAGATAAGTAGAAGACAGATAGACAAACAGTAATTTGAAAAAATGATAATGATCTATAAATGAAAATGTGTTAGCATCAAAATTTCATATTAGACGAACAACTTCAACCAGATAATGATTTCACTATCTGACCCTGACTTTACAAAGAAAGGGTCAATCATAACTATACAACATCATTATTCTTGATAATCTTCATTGTATTAAGTTTGCAATGAAAATATTCAAAATCAAACCTTCATGACATTGACATTTATACGACCTTGACCTTGCATCTAATAGTATCACCTTCCATGATAAATATAGAATGGACCACAGGCAAACGTAATTAGAAAACTTGATGATAAAAATGTGTGTTAAAGGTCTAAAATAGAACAAGCAATGTAAATTATATATACGTACACTGTAGGTTAGCAATTTTCCCTGTTAATCTTGCCTTACAATGATATATACATCTTTGGTAATGAAACGGGCTAAAGAACCAAAAATAAAATATGGTTTTTATACATGTGTATATATATATGTATATTGTCTAGAGTAATAAAGATCCAGTGTCAACAGAAAATCAATACATATATATATTTATATATTGGCCAGGTTGTTAGGACTATCATCTAAATACAGTAATATCATAATGCTTGTAACAGTTGGGGATTACTACGGTGTCTTGTATAAATTACCTGAAAATTAAAACTTGATATGCAAATCATTTCATTGAAACACTGAAGAAGAGAACTGCATTGTTGTCATTGGAGAAATGAAAACCTAAATAAAGACAAGAAAGCGTTTTCTTTTGTCTTTTATATATAGGCTCTGATATTTCAGTTTAGGACACAAAAATACAAGTTTAGGACACAAAAATACAGTCTCTGCCACTCAGCTTATGAGGCAATAGGTATACATGACCTATTGGATTCCTGTTGAACTGAAATGTCACCATGGGAGACTTTTTGTCTGTTCTTTCACACTAAAATATTGCAAAACAAAAAATGACATCACTAGGTATATTTCTGTGAATATATTTTTGTATACCATGGCAAGCATGAAATTTGTGAGCAACCTTCCCAGCGACTATATTTATGTTAACGTAGACAAATGACCAGTAAACCACATGTACCACCGCAAGCTTAATGGTTTAAAGTGTACTAGAAATCAACAAGATGTTTCAACTCTATATCTTTTAATCACATGCACTGTACACACTTTCAGGTAAATAAGCATATAAATGATGAAGTGGTTATCAAATTGTTGATTATTCCACATTTAAAACATTTATCATGTTAAATGATGATGATGATGATGATGATGATGATGATGATGATGATGATGATGAGTCAAATGTGTGAATGTTGGTATGTATGTTTTGTCTTGTTATTTTAAAGTATTATGCAAAATTTTAAAAATAAAAAGTACAAAAAAATGTACAAAAACACTAATCTTATGCATAAATTTCTAATTGACTGACTGTACTGTACATAAGGTCAAACATCCACATAATAGCACAGACTTCAATAGAGTGAAAATACCAAACACAGGAAATTTAAAAAAATATCTTTTTTTTTCTCGAAATTGGACGAAATTCAAAAAGATATACTAGGCACATGCCAAGTTTGTGTAAGTCCGTAGTACTACTTGCTTTACTAGATAAAATAATGAGAGTGAGAGCTAGGCCTAGTTAACTTGCAATAAATGCCATCACTGCAGTGACTGGTATTGGAGTCCTGGATTTTCTTGAGGGAATCCACTAAATTTTTCAGCACAAACTATTCTGACAAATATCTCATAGTAATGATTCATCCAAATTTTGAAAATGGTGTTCTGGACTCGTCTGAAAAAAAGATTCTACAAAAATTGGTACCATTGTGGTCATCAGATCTATCAACTCATTTTACTCGCCGAACTCGACCCTCTGGCGGTACGCATATATGTATGTTCTCACCGTTTTAGGTTGCAATTCACGCCCTGCTCCCTTAATTTTGATGTAGTCTTGGAAGACCCGAGACAACCTCTGATTTGTTATAGAACGGAGTTTCTTGGCCAATGAGCAACTCCAGTCTTCTGCAATGTAACGTTTGTGTCTTGTTTGTAAACTTGCGCCATCTGCAGGAACAGAATATAAAACTCGAACCGGAAATGGATATTTTCCGGAAATGGAAAATGATACTGTGCATCAGGTATGATATCGTTCATGATTTATTTGACGAATGTTTTTGAGTGTTTACAAACCACAAGAAAACGGCGACCAGTTCCGGTTTTGAGTATTATGAACTAGCCAAGTCAAACAAGATTGTACCGAAGACACACAAGTGTGCACCCTTAAACACAAATTTTAGAATCGGATGTACAGTAGTGCAAATTGCTAAGTTGAACTGCATCATACAGCTGTTTCGTCATTTAGGACTCTCAGTCAGTGACGCTAAAGGTCTTATTTTTTTTAAACCTATGAGACAAATCCTGAGAGATATCCATAGACATAGGTCCTGCGGGCGGAAACAACATAAGGTAACATAAGATAAGGTTGATCTCTGTTTCCATTGCCGTTTCCCCTCGACACAACGTACAATGAACTAGACCTTTCTGCTTATTGTACTGATCTCTCCCTATTACCTTGTGCTCTCTGTCAACCATTGCTGCTCCCTTCTATCCATCGTCCTGGTCTTCGTTCCCATTGTTTTGTTGTCTCTACCCATTGCAATAATCTTTGTTCCCATTGCATGTCTCTTCTAAATATTGTCATATTTTTTGTGCATTGTCCCCTCTACCCACTGTTATAATCTTTGTTCTCTCCCTATTGCATGTCTCTTCTAAATTTGTCATATTTTTTGTGCATTGTCCCATTGTTTTGTTGTCTCTACCCATTGCAATAATCTTTGTTTCCATTGCATGTCTCTTCTAAATATTGTCATATTTTTTGTGCATTGTCCCCTCTACCCACTGTTATAATCTCTGTTCCCATTGCATGTCTCTTCTAAATATTGTCATATTTTTTGTGCATTGTCCCCTCTACCCATTGTTATAATCTCTGTTCCCATTGCCTTCACCCCTTTACCTATTGCCCTTACCCCTATTCCCATATATTTACTTTCTATCCATTATCCAGATCTTCCTTTCCACTGCCTACAGTACTCTGTACCGATTCTTCTGATCTTGTTTCCATTGTGTTTTAGTCTCTACCACCTGTCCCAGACTTTGTTCCCATGGTCTTGTCCAATATATCAATTGTCATATTCCATTTCCTTCACCCCTCTTTTCATTTTACCTGTCTTTGTTCCAACTGTTCTACCACTTGTCCCAGTTTTTGTTCCCTTTGCCTTGTCCTTTCTACCTATTGTTCAGACCTTTGTTTCTATTGTCTATTTCTCTATCAATTCTACTGATTTTTGTTCCCATTGTTCTCTCTTCTCATTACACTGATGTCTGTTCCCATTGTTACATATTCTCTACCTATATGTATTGTCACAGTCATTGTTCCTATTGCCTTGTTCTCTACCCATTGTCTTAATCCCTTTTCCCATTGTTACATAATCTCTACCTATATGTATTGTCACAGTCATTGTTCCTATTGCCTTGTTCTCTACCCATTGTCTTAATCCCTTTTCCCATTGTTATGTATTCTCTACCTATATGTATTGTCACAGTCATTGTTCCTATTGCCTTGTTCTCTACCCTTTGTCTTAGTCCCTGTTCCCATTGCTTTCTCTCAACCCATTGTATCCATCTTTATTTCCATTGCATTGTAATCTCTGCCCATTGTTCTGATCTTTGTGCCCATTGCTTGTCTCCTCTATGCATTTACCTAATTTTTGTTACAATCATCCTGATCTTCGCTCCCTTTGTCTCATACTCTGTACCCATTGTCCTGATCTCAAACTCCCATTGTCTCATACTCTCTACCCATTGTCCTGATCTCTAACTCCCATTGTCTCATACTCTCTACCCATTGTCCTGATCTCTAACTCCCATTGTCTCATACTCTCTACCCATTGTCCTGATGTCTAACCTCATTGTCTCATACTCTCTACCATTGTCCTGATGTCCAACTCCCATTATCATACTCTCTACCCATTGTCCTGACCTCAAACTCCCATTATCATACTCTCTACCCATTGTCCTGATCTCTAAATCCCATTGTCTCATACTCTCTGTCCTTTGTCCTGATCTTTGCGTCCATTGCTTGTTTCCTCTATGCATTTACCTGATTTTTGTTACAATTGTCCTGATCTTTGCTCCCATTGTCTCATACTCTCTACCCATTGTCCTGATCTCTAACTCCCATTGTCTCATTCTCTCTACCCATTGTCCTGATGTCTAACTCCCATTGTCTCATTGTCCTGATCTCTAACTCCCATTGTCTCATTCTCTCTACCCATTGTCCTGATGTCTAACTCCCATTGTCTCGTACTCTCTGCCCATTGTCCTGATGTCTAACTCCCATTGTCTCATTGTCCTGATCCTTGTTCACATCACACCATACAGAATATGTATACTATCCATATATCTGTTCTAACTTCCAACTGTCGTATGACATTTGCCGGCCTATAACTCATTGTTAACTACAGAAATGAAACATATCTAACACTTCTTGTTCCAGGAATATTTTATTTGCACATTTGCATCACAAGGTAAATCAACACAGTACAACAATGGTGACAACATATGGTTGGTGGGATGTTATTCCATTTAGCCAATGACTAGCTTAGAAAACCAATGAGAGAAGACTATTAAAATACTTGTTCACTGGCAAATTTAATAAACCTCATGGTGATCCTAGTGAAGTTATAAAGCCGACAATAAATCTTCAGTTTGTCATTTCCTACCACCTGAACACTGTATAAATCAGATATAATGAGGACTTGATAAAGTGAGATTTGTTTTTAGAACCTAAATAAATCTAACTAACCAACAAGAGGTTTGTGAGGGATCTTGGTACCCACCATTGTTTGATCTTTATTTTTCTGTTAAAGTTGAATATTTTCCCTTCTTTACATTTCCTTTCTTTGCTCTTGATTATATGAAATATGAAAGTACCTCTGAGAAATAACTAAGATAATCTGGCATTGTTAAAATCCAAGATGTGCGCCTGTCAGCCATTTTGGTTTTCATTATTGGTAAAAAAAAATGCAAATGGGCACTGAGAAGGATCCATCCAGTTCTTCTCAAGGAATAAAAATTTTAAAATTCCATTAGTAAAATCCAAGATGGCCATATATCAGCCATTTTGTTCTTTTGATCAGTCCCAAAATCAAAAAGGAACAATAAAAGCCCAAATGAGAACCTTCATATAAAATGTGAGCAAGAATTGTTTGAGGACATACGATGGACATGGAGGAATCAAGAACACAGGGTGATATGGTGGTCTGAAAATATCAGTAACAAAAACCATGAATAACAATGATACTTTTAAAGAATGATGACTAGAAATTTCTGAAGAATCATATTACCAGGGCATATTTTGTGTAAAGCTGTATTTTCCAGGAAACCTTAACTAGGCCAAAGGGAGATAATCCTTGGAAAATTAAGAAAATTTCAAATATACATATGTCAACTAAAAATTTGGTTATTGAAGTATTTAGTTAAAGAAATCTTTGAATCTGAATATGATTACCCACACTTAATTATGCAAATCAAAAAACAAATTTCCTCACCTGGTATGCTGTACAACAATGACCTTTTCAAGCTTTAATTAGTACAAAATCTGGATTAGCCAGGACACTAACCTTCTCATTGATATAAAGGTATTATCTGGATTAACTTTTGAGGCAAGTTCCTGAATACTTCTACTAATATCTCCTCTCTGATTACAGTAACATGTTGGTAAGTCTGGGACCTCTGGTTATTCCACACACAGGTTACACAGCTTGTTCAAAAATAGGACCATCAGGATAAAATATGCTAAACACAGGGGTAGAAATATCACAACTTCTCTGATATATTTCAAGGTCATAAATAAAAACAAGCACATAGAAATTAAATATTTAAAATCAATATTGACATTTACTTAAACAATATGGCAGCATCAGTCTATATTGCACTTTCAGTGTTACTGTGTAAACAAAATTGTAAAATACTTATCATGGCGATGGGATTCAAAAATAATTTCCCAATTATTGGGATAAAAATAGACAATAAAGACAGTGTATAATTAAACAGAAACTCAAGCAAAAACAAATATATAACAATGTATATAAAGTTAACTGGATTAAAAAGGATGGCCTGAAGACATCAGATCACTTCAGTGTATCTGGTTGGATAAGTTGAAAGTTTGAACCTTACAGAATCAATAGGCACAGATTTTGACCAAGGTTAATTTAGGCACATGCTGATCCATGGGTCTGGCCAATCCAACCAAACATTCTACTCTTATGCAGAAAGTGTTCACAAACACATGCAAACTTAAGTTATCACAAAACACATGCAAACATAAGTTATCACAAAACACATGCAAACATAAGTTATCACAAAACACATGCAAACATAAGTTATCACAAAACACATGCAAACATAAGTTATCACAAAACACATGCACATGCAAACATAAGTTAAAAAATTTGGTACACGAAAATAAAAAAACATTACTTCATCAAGTATTTATGCTTAATCAATTATGTTTCACTGAAAACTTTTAAAAATCTCACTTTGACTCCTGTTTATTAAGCAGTTCATAGAGCAGTGTGAACTATTCCAGTATCATTTGATCTGATACATGCAGTGGTCTTAGAGGACCTAAAACACATTAACAACCAGTGGCCTAAAAAAGGTTCCATGTGTACAAGTTTATACACCAAACACACTGACCACCACTGGCCTAAAGGGTTCCATGTGTACAAGTTTATACACCAAGCACACTGACCACCACTGGCCTAAAGGGTTCCATGTGTACAAGTTTATACACCAAACACACTGACCACCAGTGGCCTAAAGGGTTCCATGTACACAAGTTCATACACCAAACACACTGACCACCACTGGCCTAAAGGGTTCCATGTGTACAAGTTTATACACCAAACACACTGACCACCAGTGGCCTAAAGGGTTCCATGTACACAAGTTCATACACCAAACACACTGACCACCACTGGCCTAAAGGGTTCCATGTATACGGGTTCATACAACTGATCATAATGATAAGAAATGATACCTCATCTCTGATCAAAGCTGTTATCACCACATACAGAGAAACATTTTGCCACAGTTTGACTCCCATTTTACCACGCTCACATCTCGCACAATAGAAAAGTATTTTCTGAAGTTGATATTCAGGCTGATATAAATAAATTTAATGTTTTTTTAGAAAGAATTTACCATAGGTAGAAAATAGTTTTACTTGTATACAGTAAAAATACAAACAAAACTTGAAATTCATGGCCTTCCAATAATCTACAGGTGTTAGCTGTTTAGGATACCGATTCTAGAGTGAGAATTATCACCCAGAACACCATCAGTATCATCAGACATATGGTTATCTCCTCAGAGGTCAGTGATTATCTCCTCAGGGGTCAGCAAGCAGTCATCAATAAAAAGTGGTGATTTTCAACATGTACTTTTAGCTTTTACAAAATGCTGTCAGTTTCAGATACAAGTCGAGTTCAATTTTCAAAAAATCTTCTTAAAAATAAATTATCAAATCATCAATAGACTCATAAACCAACAAATAAAAAACTGTTCGTTGAAGATTTAAGTAGGTGTACCAATATACCAAAAAAAATCAAGATTTCATTGTGAACATCCATTAACAAATTATTTTTCAGAATTCAGATGAATTGATTTACAAATCTTAAGTAATATATTATACAGAACTGAAGTAATGCATTGTACTGAACTATAGTAATATATCGTACTGAACTATAGTAATATATCGTACTGAACTTTAAGTAATGGTAGTATATTTCACAGAACTATCCTACTACCAGTAAATAACATAGGGAATGGTGAACTTAAACATTTAACAATAAATGTGTACATTTTATTCATGTGTACCTTACATATGTATAACACACACACACCATTACAAACGCTACCTCATTCAAGGTCATTTGCATTACCACTCATCAGTCTATATTCTCCCTATCTAATTTCAATCTCACACTTTTGGTCTTCAGAAAAACTGCAATTGCAAATAAATACTCAAACCTTGGTTATGAATCTTAAATTAGGACTTACATCCTCTAAAAAAAGTTAAGCATTACAGCACATCATCATCATCATCATCATCATCATCATCATCATCTTTTGGCATTACATTGTATAGGGAGGAGAACTAAAATAAGACATCTAAAACAAATATTAATCCGACCTCCTGACAGCCTGCTGTACACAGGTAGATATATATATATACTGAACGTCACCTGTGACAACCTATAACGTCCCAGGAATAGATGACCATGATATCCAATTTCAAATTTTTCTAATATTTTCTCAGGAATTTTTGTACATTTTGTACTTTCATCAAGCTACCAATTTTAACAGGATAATCCACCAAAGTTACAAAATTTCTGGTTGTTTGGTACCTTTTAAGACTAATTCAAGTGACTTTGAAAACTATTGTTCACATCAAATGATCTCTCCTGTGGTCAATTCGGAATAATCCCACCCAAATTGTCTAAATATAGTACACAAGGAAATCCAGAACTGAAACGCCACTGGATCATAGGTTTAATGCAGCGTGTTGGGTAAATACAGATGTGTGTATGCTGTTCAATAAAATTTCTGCTCGGATTACAATTTCATTGCTTCTATAGGCTTATTTTCTGGTAATTTCATGACTTACACAAATATTTCATTCTGTTTAGATTATAACAAGCAAACCTGTTATGACACAATCAGGGCTGCACCAATGTTTATAAATCAATCTAACTTGATCTATATAGAATTTCCACAAAGAAAATATATATTTATTTAAATGGTAAACTGATGTGTACCATTTCTATAACAACATAAGTGGATGATTTTGTACAATTTTCTTCAAAGGCATGTCATGGAATGCTAACCTTGGCAGAATATTCCTTTAAAGTTATATGACAAAATATCTTCATGGTTTTCAAAAAATGGACAATGAGAAAATTAAAGAGAACATGCCATATTTATACATCCATAGAAAAACAAGCCATGACTTTAGGGATCCTGTCACAGTATTCCAAGATGAAATTTATTTTCACACAGCATGGATTTCCCAAGATGGACAATTTTAAAAAAAGAAATCAAATGATACCTACACGTGGGGGATATTTCAATTTTAGAAGACATAACTCTGAACAGAGGTAACAAGAGTTTGTGATAAGATTAACTCTACAGCAAGACTGAAAGACTTAATAAAGCATGAAACAACATTAAATATTACACAGCACATCACAATTTAGAGTAGTCTCCCTTGGCCCATGGACTCACAACACTTTGAACCAGCCCTACAATAATTCCATTATAAACATTGATTATATACACATTACTGATAATTCAGGCATTTTAATAGACAGAGATGGGCCTTCACACAATTGGTAACTATTTTGATTATCGCTGTTGCTACATCAGGACCTAACAGGTATCATCTGCTCAAGTCAAAATCACTGTCACTACAGCAGAACCCTGGGCCTATAAGTATTGTATCTTCTAGTCAACATCAATTTAAAGCTCCAACTTCCTGAAGTTATTCTATGTTACCTCATTATTTTATCTCTTAAACTCCGGTTATTTATTTTGTCATAACAAAGATTAGATAATGAACAGTCTATATATTTACTGTTTACCGGTCCTTATCATGCGAGTATATATTGTTGTGTGGTTCACTGTAAAATTTCCCAGAAGAATTATCATTAAGTACCTCCTAACTAAACCCAAACCCAATTCTCACATCATACTCTGTACTGTTTCTTAACAAAGACATACAGCAGAGGTCACTTACTCACATCGTACTAAACAGCGGTATGTCAACTAAAGCCATGATAGTTTATATATCCCAGTATCAAGCTCTAAATAGCTGATGCAAGTCACTTCATCAATACTCCAGATTTCACAGATGAGTCAATACCAATGTTACACCAAATTGAATATCTCAGGTAAGTAAGTTCTGAGTCTCAATGTCATTTTGTTTCAAGGAAAAAAAGAAAAAAATCAATAAGTTTCCCTGCAATATTACCATTTTTTCTGGTGACAACAAATTCAGATATTTTTCTAGCTCAAATAATTAAATTGGTCATTTTTTCATCTGAACTTTACAGATTTAAGTTAACATCAACTTTTCTCCTAGAGAGGTTCCGGTAGAAAGGATGTAATGTAATTTTGTCACAGATATTCCAAGCACATTTTGAATGATATACAGCCAAAGCTTTGAATATTTCACAAAACATAACTATTTAGTCTTTTGCTTTGGGCTGATAACTACTCTTATGCCACAATGTTAAAACTTTTGTGTTCAGTAAACTATAGAGTTTGACCCTCATAGCTAATTACAACACCGAGTCCTCCACTGATACTAGTCATGTTGTTATCAACAGCAGCCTCCTCCCTCAGGCTCACCTTCCATCACATGGAATGATTCTTTGGGACGGGAGAATCCATTCTTCACACCATCCCATCCCTCCTCCACCTTAATGGAACCATCCTCCAACTTTTGGTGAATATCGCGGGCAAGAGACTGAAATGCCTCTTCAACATTGTGTCCTGAAAATGCTGATGTTTCAATGTAGCGGAGACTGTTAGACTCTGCATAGAGACGAGCCTCACGATGTGTGACCTGACGTTGGTCCTCCAAGTCAGCCTTCTGTCCTACAACCATATACACAGCCTCATATGGCTCTATATGGGCACGTGCTTCCTTAAGCCAGGAATCAACATTCTCGAAAGAACGTCGCTTGGTTAAGTCAAACACTATTAGAACACCAACAGAATTACGGTAGTAGGATCGTGTGATTGATCTGCAAAATACAGTAAGCATTTACAACATTTACAGAAAGGTATTTGAACATGTGACTGCTTACACAAATTTACAAATAGATGAAGTAAATATCTATATAAAATATAAACATTATAACAAAATAATTTTACTGATAATTGATTCTGATGCCAATTGTTTCCAGAAAATCTATCAAATATAATCTCAACATACATAATACAGGTTTATCAGTATGGGCTTCCTCAGACATATAAACACATTTGTTTCCCTGTCCAAGGCCAGATTATCACTTGATCTACAATAACTGCTGCAATGCAATCATTTAATAATTTAACTAAGGCATAGATAATGGGTTTAAGCAATTTAGAAAATTACATATAGAATATATAACTTTTACTTGAACTTATAGGAATCCAATTTTGCTGTCTTTTTGACCACCTGTGTGCGCACCAATGAGTGGTATACATGTATATAACATACCAATACCCCAGATATCTGAGGGTGAGAAACTATAGTCCAACACTGGATTACCAACATCCTGGACCACCAGACTAGTACTGGATTATCTAATCTGGGCAACTACACCAGCACTGGATTACCATCAGCTTGGACCACTGTACCAACACTGGACTATCTACAATTTAGATCACCGGTCCAGCACTAGATTATCTACAGCCCTGACCACTGGATGACCATCAGTCTGAACCAAAGCTCGAACACTGGATTATCTACAGACTGGACCACTGGACCAAAACTGGATTACCATCAGCCTGATCCAATGGTTGAACACTGGATTATATACAGACTGGACCACTAGTGAAGCAATGGATTATCTTCAGACTGGATTACTGGTCAAACACTGAATCACTGGTCCTGTACTGAATTACCTACAAACTGGATCTTTTTTCCAGCACTGGATTATCTATAGACAGAATCACTAGCTGTAGTCTAGCACAGGTTTGTCTACAGACTGGATCACTGACCCAGTTCTGGATTATCTATAGACAGAATCACTAGCTGTAGTCCAGCACAGGTTTGTCTACAGACTGGATCACTGGCCCACCACTGGATCACTGACCCAGTACTGGATTATTAGACAGGATCGTTGATCCAGCACTGGATTATCTATAGACAGAATCACTAGCTGTAGTCCAGCACAGGTTTGTCTACAGACTGGATCACTGGCCCACCACTGGATCACTGACCCAGTACTGGATTATTAGACAGGATCGTTGATCCAGCACTGGATTATCTATAGACAGAATCACTAGCTGTAGTCCAGCACAGGTTTGTCTACAGACTGGATCACTGACCCAGTTCTGGATTATCTATAGACAGAATCACTAGCTGTAGTCTAGCACAGGTTTGTCTACAGACTGGATCACTGACCCACCACTGGATCACTGACCCAGTTCTGGATTATCTATAGACAGAATCACTAGCTGTAGTCCAGCACAGGTTTGTCTACAGACTGGATCACTGGTCCAACACTGAATCACTGGCCCAGGACTGGATTACCTAAAGCTTCAGTCTAGATCCAGACTTGTCCAGTATGGATTAAATACAGTCTCGTCATCTCTTTATTATAATTAAATGTTTTGCTCGTTAGATACTGTTAGAAGACGATTATTAACATTATTGAAAATCGATCACGACAACTTTTGAATACAGATGTATTATGTTCATTGTGTCTTAGAAAAACGTTATTCCATGGTATATATTTAATCTTTACATTATAAATTGTTAATCTCAACCGATTTCTGAATCGGGACTGAAATCACAGACACGTGATCATGTAATAAATGTCGGACTTAAAGCCCACTCATACATCGATATCGTGGTTTAGGCAGGGGCCATCTTGAATAAATTACTCTGGGTTTGAATGAATATCGAGGGTAATGCTCGCCCTTATCCAGGTGATTTTAAATGCGTACCTGAACCTCTCCTGGCCAGCCGTGTCCCAGAGCTGTAGTTTTACCCGAACACCCTGCTGTACCTCCAGCAGACGTGCGTAGAAGTCAACACCTACTGTGGGGTCGCACACCTCGGAGAATTTACCATCTGTGAAATATTTCAGCAATGACGATTTTCCAACAGTACTGTCACCTATCAGGATCAGTCTAAACTGATAGTCGAAAATTGGCTCCACCATTTTTTCTTCCAATACTGTTGTGCATATCAGATTATGTCTTAGTTTATCTTACTGCGTTTGACATTCTCCATCAGACATGTGTTTCGTCTTCGCTTCCTGTTTTGATCTTGTGGTTACGTTGATATGTTACAACTGTTTTAATTGGCCGACCGTACAACTGATACAATAATTCTAGCCAATGACAGAGTCCATAGCAATTGTTCATTTCTCTACAGGCTAAAGCAATATAATTATTTATCATTTTTCGTGAAAGATATTCTTATTCCAGTTAAAGTTCATATTTTCACTTTGACAGAATAAAGGGGTATCACAGTAGCTATACATACAAAGGAAAAATTAATTGTAATTTGTAACTCGTTTATTATCCCACGGACTTGTATATTAGTTTACCATAGATCAGTAGGCCTATATACGTCCCTGGTATAACAGGGTCGCTCGTAACATTTTATAAAATAGATCGCGTGTTCAATTTGTAACTCATAGTCTTCTACTACTGTTCTGACAAAAAATTATGTATTTATGGAGAAAAATGGTACATGAACACAACAAGGCTAGTTAACTCGACTTTACCTGGGGTACCGTTACACTGAAAGAGGTAGTCTAACTATTACAAAAAGATAGTCTATTTCTCAACCATTCTATTCATGATAGCTCCTTGATCATAAACTACATAACTCAATTGTTGTTAGAAAAAAGTCCACTGACTTAGACGGTATATCTGTCCAGATTCTGAAACTCTGATCCTTTATCATTGACCGTTACAAACTTGATAAGTTTCTGTATAGCAGACAATGTCAGCTCACTTAACTCGAATATTTAAGAAAAATGGTTCTATGAGTAATAAGGATTACAGACCTGTGGACGTTTTACCAGTTTTATCAGAAGTTTTTGTAACTTGGGTGTCAAACCACTCTGTTACCACTCCTGCAGGACTGGGCGGCAGGCTTTGGGTGTCAGACCACTCTGTTGCCACTACTGAAGGACTGGGCGGCAGGCTTTGGGTGCCAGACCACTCTGCTGAGACTCCTGGAGGACTGGTGTCAGACTATGGGTGCCAGACCACTCTGTTGAGACTCCTGGAGGACTGGCGTCAGACTTTGGGTGTCAGACAATTCTGTTACGACTCCTGCAGGACTGGGCGGCAGGCTTTGGGTGCCAGACCACTCTGTTACGACTCCTGCAGGACTGAGCGGCAGGCTTTGGGTGCCAGACAACGCTGTTGCGACTCCTGGAGGACTGGCGACAGGCTTTGGGTGTCAGACCACTCTGTTGTGACTCCTGGAGGACTGGCGACAGTTTTTGAGTGTCAGACCACTCTGTTACGACTCCTGGAGAGATGGGTGTCAGACAATGGGTGCGAGACCACTCTGTATAGACTCCTGAAGGACTGGCGTCCGACTTTTGGTGTCAGACAACTCTGTTGCGACTCCTGGAGGACTGAGCGGCAGGCTTTGGGTGCCAGACCACTCTGTTGCGACTCCTGGAGGACTGGGCGACAGTATTTGGGTGGCAGACCACTCTGTTGCGACTCCTGGAGGACTGAGCGGCAGGCTTTGGGTGCCAGACCACTCTGTTGCGACTCCTGGAGGACTGGGCGACAGTTTTTGGGTGGCAGACCACTCTGTTGCGACTCCTGGAGGACTGAGCGGCAGGCTTTGGGTGCCAGACCACTCTGTTACGACTCCTGGAGGACTGGATGTCAGGCTTTGGGTGCCAGACAACTCTGTTGCGACTCCTGGAGGACTGGCGTCAGACTTTTGGTGTCAGACAACTCTGTTGCGACTCCTGGAGGACTGAGCGGCAGGCTTTGGGTGCCAGACCACTCTGTTACGACTCCTGGAGGTCTGGATGTCAGGCTTTTGGGTGCCAGACCACTCTGTTGCGACTCCTGGAGGACTGAGCGGCAGGCTTTGGGTGCCAGACCACTCTGTTACGACTCCTGGAGGACTGGATGTCAGGCTTTGGGTGCCAGACAACTCTGTTGCGACTCGTGGAGGACTGGCGACATTTTTCGGGTGCCAGACCACTCTGTTGCGACTCCTGGAGGACTGAGCGGCAGGCTTTGGGTGCCAGACCACTCTGTTGCGACTCGTGGAGGACTGGATGTCAGGCTTTGGACAACACATATGTTAGAGATCCTCATAGATCTGTCCAAGGCCTTTGTCTTCCTCACGGACTGGTGATAGAAAAGCTGCCTCCGTATAAACTTGACAGTTCATCAATGCCTTTAATACGTTGCTTTAGCGACTGACTCCAGCGGACTTGGACTGGAGCCCAATACCAGTGACTAGGTGGTGTTGACGAAGGGGGTACCCCAAGGGTTAAACGTTGGCCCACTGTTATTTTTATCAATGCTATTTCTTAGATAAATTGAAAAAATGTAACCTGTATAAATATGCAGACTCCCTCTCATATGTATGGTGGCTGATTCGGGACATCGTAATATCGCTCTGTTTGATGGGAAGCGAGATTGCGATATTACGATAGAACGATGCTACGATGTCAGTCTGTCTAATGCACTGGAAGAGGAGAGTCAGAACTTAGTAAATTAGTTTAATTGTCATGTGATGCACGCAAATCCAGATGATTTTCAATCTATATACAGTCAAACCTGTTATAACGGCCACCTTAGTTAGACGGCCACCTGCTTATAAAGGTCGTTTTCAGACCCTCCCAATCGTTTTTGCTCATTAATGATACCTAATTTAACGGCCATCTGTCTAACGCGGCCAGCAGTCACCTTTTTCGTCCCCAAACTCGCGATCGAACCTCGTTTAAACAGCCGTTTTGACCACAAGTCATTTGACAAGCTTTCTTGACTGCGAGTCACGTTTTCTCGCCACGTGAACATTCCTACAAAAAAAACAGCTGATGGCACGTAAACACAATTCACCATGCATTGTATATTGACTTTGATTCCATTTACGTCACTAGTATACACAATTCAGGCATATCATCACTATCGTGGCAAATTTTAGACGTTTAGACAAGAAAACAACTCTAATTTTTCCTTCTTTCAACATCGGCATTCACGAAAGTAAATGTTCTGTTAAACTTCTGGGTGTTGATTTAAATAGATCTAACATATCCAAAACATTTCCAGACAACTTTGTATGCTAAAACTAGTTGGCTGTTACCTCACCAAGAAGTACAGAAACACTATTTTTAAATCTTTATTTTTTTTTTTTAATTTGAATTACTGCCCACAAGAATGGCACTTTCATACTATGAAAAACACTAAGAAATAAGAAAAGATAGAGGGAACAGCAGTCTGGTTTATAGAAAATAATGTTACTACTCATTTACATGTTCTTGTAGAAAGAAAATATTTGTTCTTTCCTTCATGTAACACGCCTAACAAGTATTGCTAAGAAAGTTTTTGAAATTTTACCTGGTATCAATATTTATCTAATTTCAGGCGTGACCTCACGGCTATCATTCCTCATGTCAAGACAACTAGGTATGGTCAATAAATCAGGTCGATTCGAAGCGACCCGGGTGTCTACCAAAGGAGATGAACAAGACTGAGTCCTTCCCCGTGTTCCGGAGACTGTTACACGCCTGAAAGCTGAATCCTTCCCCGTCTTCCGGAGACTGTTACACACCCGAAGGCTGAGTCCTTCCCCGTGATCCGGAGACTGTTACACGCCTGAAGGCTGAGTCCTTCCCCGTCTTCCGGAGACTGTTACACACCTGAAGGCTGAATCCTTCCCCGTCTTCCGGAGACTGTTACACACCTGAAGGCTGAATCCTTCCCCGTCTTCCGGAGACTGTTACACACCTGAAGACTGAGTCCTTCCCCGTGTTCCGGAGACTGTTACACACCTGAAGGCTGAATCCTTCCCCGTGTTCCGGATACTGTTACACACCTGAAGGCTGAATCCTTCCCCGTCTTCCGGAGACTATTACACACCTGAAGGCTGAATCCTTCCCCGTGTTCCGGAGACTGTTACACACCTGAAAGCTGAATCCTTCCCCGTCTTTCGGAAACTGTTACACACCTGAAGACTGAATCCTTTCCCGTCTTCCGGAGACTGTTACACACCTGAAGGCTGAGACCTTCTCCGTCATCCGGAGACTGTTACACACCTGAAGGCTGAGACCTTCCCCGTGTTCCGGAGACTGTTACACACCTGAAGGCTGAGACCTTCCCCGTCTTCCGGAGACTGTTACACACCTGAAGGCTGAGACCTTCCCCGTCTTCCGGAGACTGTTACACACCTGAAGGCTGACACCTTCCCCGTCTTCCGGAGACTGTTACACACCTGAAGGCTGAGACCTTCCCCGTCTTCCGGAGACTGTTACACACCAGAAGGCTGAATCCTTCCCCTTCTTCCTGAGACTGTTACACACCTGAAGGCTGAGACCTTCCCCGTCTTCCGGAGACTGTTACACACCTGAAGGCTGAATCCTTCCCCGTGTTCCGGAGACTGTTACACACCTGAAGGCTGAGACCTTCCCCGTGTTCCGGAGACTGTTACACACCTGAAGGCTGAATCCTTCCCCGTGTTCCGGAGACTGTTACACACCCGAAAGCTGAATCCTTCCCCGTCTTTCGGAAACTGTTACACACCTGAAGACTGAATCCTTTCCCGTCTTCCGGAGACTGTTACACACCTGAAGGCTGAGACCTTCTCTCCGTCACACCGGAGACTGTTACACACACTGAAGGCTGAGACCTTCCCACACCTGAAGGCTGAGACCTGTTCCGGAGACTGTTACACACCTGAAGGCTGAGACCTTCCCCGTCTTCCGGAGACTGTTACACACCAGAAGGCTGAATCCTTCCCCTTCTTCCTGAGACGGGGAAATGACCCTAGAATTTAGTGTCGAAACTGCTCAGATCTTTACCAGCGATAGTAGATAGTGTATCGAAACTGCTGGGAACGTTACCAGCGATAGTAGATAGTGTATCGAAACTGCTGGGAACGTTACCAGCGATAGTAGATAGTGTTTCGAAGCTGCTGGGAACTTTACCAGCGATAGTAGACAGTGTATCGAAACTGCTGGCAACTTTACCAGCGATAGTAGACAGTGTATCGAAACTGCTGAGAACTTTACCAGCGATAGTAGACAGTGTATCGAAACTGCTGGCAACTTTGCCAGCGATAGTAGACAGTGTATCGAAACTGCTGGCAACTTTACCAGCGATAGTAGATAGTGTATCGAAACTGCTGAGAACTTTACCAGGGATATTAGACAGTGTATTGAGACTGCCGGGAACTTTACCAGCGATAGTAGATACTTTCCATGTTAACTTCTCGAGCATCTATCACTTTAATCAAATATCATCCTGAAGCAACACGGACTTCGATACAGGCTATTTAAGATACTACAAGACACTGTCAGCTGGATGGCATAACTTTTCAAGGTACATAAGTCCTACATTTCACGTTATATATTGGCAGTGAGTGTTTGGCAGACAGGGAAACAAAAACCAAACCGTATCGACTGATAGTCATTCTCTTGACTTCTCATAGGTTTGACACCTTAAACCCACAAGTCGGACAAAGCTTGTCCGTACTCCAGGTGACTGGTGATGAACGGCGATGATATTTATTGATTTACTGATCAAAGTTCAATCCTCTTATAGACATTACAGTGAAGCATTGTCAGTTTGTGTAATGTGCGGTACATCAACAGTACGAGGATACATTTACACATTCAAATAAAGAAGAAAAAATACATGATCTCAGAATGAGGGATGCCGTGATTCGTCACGTCACTGTTCGTGTATAGAGATCGATATCCGATACCACCCTTTGTCTCCATCAATCGCCCTCCTTCATCATCCCGAGAAGTCTTTGATCCGATATGCATTTACTGAAATCAAATATCTGTGAATATTTTCAACAGTTATCTATAAAACGTTTCTAAAACCGATCATTGTGAATCAGAATGAAGAGTAATTTAGGTAGTACTTGGTGGTAGCTAGACGTGGTTATACATCACTTGTGTCTACAGACCTCCAAGAAATCATAAGTAGCAGGAAATCAATGACAGTTAAGAAGCATTTGTTCCAATATAAGTCGGTGCGTGCACTGATATAAAGTTCTACAGAATTTCGCCACAGGAAGAGTAAACATCTCCTTGTTTGAATGGGTTGTTTACTAAAACTTCTTTTGTGTGGATTCATCAATGAAATCCAACATGAATGTTAGCCCGGGCCTGGAGACTGATCATGAGTGGGATCTCCGTGTGGTGAGTTTGAGATGGGATACTCCGGGACAGTCGCCCCAGCGACAGGTGGTGGAGGACAGGCTGAAATACGGTTGCCAAAGCTGTAGACAGATCATGTTAGCTAGGAACAGCAGTACTAGGGCTGAGCACGTCTGCTGGAGGGGCCACGATCAGGTAAGGGTCACGATGAAGGTAAGCCGTTTTGTCTAAGGTGTATGGTGGGAGGGGGTCATGGGGATGATGGAGGGGTCACGATCAGGTCAAGGTCACAATAAAGGTAATCCGTTTTGTCTAAGGTGTATGGTGGGAGGGGATCATGGGGATGCTGGAGGGGTCACGATCAGGTCAAGGTCACAATGAAGGTAATCCGTTTTGTCTAAGGTGAATGGTGGGAAGGGGGCATGGGGATGATGGAGGGGTCACGATCAGGTCAAGGTCACAATGAAGGTAATCCGTTTTGTCTAAGGTGTATGGAGGGAGGGGGTCATGGGGATGCTGGAGGGATCACGATCAGGTAACTTGACTTCTAGTGTAAAACGGAGGGGTGGGGGTGGGGAGGAGGATGGGTGCTAAGGGGGTAAGTTTGGTAATGTGTATTGACGTAGAGATAAGTACTTAGTTACGAAAGTACAACTTAGAGTTCAGAGGTAGATGTCATAAAAACCTCCAGCTGTAATAAGGAAGTGATCAGTACCTAGCTCCAAACTAAAGGTTAGCAATCAACTCTGAGGTCAAAGTTCAGGGATAGAGGTTATAATAAAAGTTAAAGATCAGAATATAGCTGCAACATCAAGTTCAGCAATCCACTCCAGGGGCCAAAGTTCGGGGGAAGAGGTCATCACCTACTTTTATAATAAAAGGTAGAGGTCAATACCCTGCTCAAAATTAAGGTCAGAAGTCAGCTTAAAGGTCAAAGTTTATTGTTATTCCAATCAAAAAAGGTAAAGACCAGTCAGTCATTAACTCCAGTGTTAAGGTCAGAAACCAACTCAAAGGTCAAAGACCTGGGGTTGACATCGGTGCTTGGTATCCATGGTATCAGTGAAAATCATGATTCAATAAAGTAAAACAACAATTAATTGGTTGTTGATCATTTATTGACTAAGTGGTTAATATCACTGTTGTAGATATAGAAGTATATAAAGTAATGACAGACACATATACACTGTACATGTAATATATCTTTATCAGACAAACACATTTGTATGTAAGTAAAAATATCTTGGTGTTAATTTGTCCCACAATAAGACTAACATACTTAGTAGACATGTGATATTGAACCTTACACAAACTTCCAGCCTGTCTCAGATTTATGTTACTCATCACTAAAATATGAAATGGAAACAAATTTAAGTTTGTTTTTTTTTTACTTCAAAAGTTTTAAATGTCTTTATCTTGTCATTATTTGGAATCGTCTTGGCTGTACGAGTAACACTATGTGAATTATCTCCCCTAGTACAACTCTGTAGTTTCAGTACACTGACCTCACTTGCTTACACATGTTTATTGTAGTTAAAGAACTCTTCAGTAAAGGACGATAATTAGATTTTTGTATGGACAGTTGTACAAACCACTAAACTGGAATCTAAATATCATAAACTACCATTCTAAACCTTGTGTACAACTGGTGCACTAGCTGTAAAGTTTGGTTCAACTGTCTTTAATCTTATTGCACATCATATAGATAACATATTTATACCAGGTTTTATGTATGGTGATTGTCTCTTACCTGAAACAACTTTCCTATCTATATTTATGATGAACATTTCTAACTTTATGATTTAACAATTATAGAAAAGCATTTGTTCAGGATCACTTGATAAGAAATCTTCTGGTTTAAAACTTCTCCAGATTTTTCTGTTGTGTCAGACCACAAATTGATAAAATTCCACATTATTACATGGGAGATCAATACCTCCAAACTATTCTTCTTCTGAGAGAGACAGGTGTGCTGGAGGGTAACTTATTATCATACTGGTCATGACAAATACTGTAGGAAAATGCATGATAGATCTTGGACTTGAGCTTTATCAAGGCAAACATTATTTCCCAAGTCACAAACCATGTACATCATACAGAGGTCTAAATATAGACAACAGGGGACTCAACCATGTACATCTGTACTGAGGTCTAAATATAGACAACAGGGGACTCAACCATGTACATCTGTACTGAGGTCTAAATATAGACAACAGGGGACTCAACCATATACATCTGTACTGAAGTCTAAATATAGACAACAGGGGACTCAACCATGTACATCTGTACTGAGGTCTAAATATAGACAACAGGGGCTCAACCATGTACATCTGTACTGAGGTCTAAATATAGACAACAGGGGACTCAACCATATACATCTGTACTGAAGTCTAAATATAGACAACAGGGGACTCAACCATGTACATCTGTACTGAGGTCTAAATATAGACAACAGGGGCTCAACCATGTACATCTGTACTGAGGTCTAAATATAGACAACAGGGGACTCAACCATATACATCTGTACTGAGGTCTAGATATAGACAACAGGGGACTCAACCATGTACATCTGTACTGAGGTCTAAATATAGACAACAGGGGACTCAACCATGTACATCTGTACTGAGGTCTAAATATAGACAACAGGGGACTCAACCATGTACATCTGTACTGAAGTCTAAATATAGACAACAGGGGACTCAACCATGTACATCTGTACTGAGGTCTAAATATAGACAACAGGGGACTCAACCATGTACATCTGTACTGAGGTCTAGATATAGACAACAGGGGACTCAACCATGTACATCTGTCCTGTTGGCTAAATGCAGATAATGAGAGACTCATATTACACTCTTGTACATCAAATCTGTGGTCTAAATACAGACAATTGGGGTACTCAACCATGTACATCTGCACTGAGGTCTAGATATAGACAACAGGGGACTTAACCAGGTACATCTGTACTGAGGTCTAAATACAGATAAATTGGGGTACTCAACCATGTACATCTAAATTGAGGTCTAAATATAAACAACATGGGTCTCAAACATGTACTTTAAGTTTTGAGGTGTAAACACAGATATAACCCTGATATAAATATACATTTGTAAGTAGTTTAGTACAGCAATATCAACAAGTGTATAAATTCCAAAATATTTCGGCATCTAAACAATAACAAGTGATTTTGTATTGGTTATGTACACTAAACAACAATGGTGAATGTATACAGAGATCATGTGTTATAAACCCTCTGATTTTTATATATTGCGTTATGATTTTTTATGTCAGACACAAAAATCTAAGACAATGCTGAATGAGATTGTCCTCTGTCCAATGATCTAGAAACATTGCCATTTTGTTATTAAACATTGACTCATTCTCAAGCGACATAGGGAGATATCTTGACACTGATGTAAGTACAATCCCACTACAAACTGATTCATCAAAACACAATATAAAAAGTGTTGTCGTTGGTAAATAATCCATACATACAAAAGTAAACAAATGAATTATTCACCATGGCAACAGTTCATAAACCATCAATAAACATCCAACATTACAGAAATATTAGAATACTGGTCTGATAGAAACTAGTTGTTAATCAGAAACTACTTTCATTTTTTGATTTATTAAAATATAGTATAATACATTAAAGTGTTAAAGAATGTGACTGTAAATAATAGGTGTATATAAGACAAGCTATATCATGAAATCATGTATACAGTATTGATGTAATTATACAGACATAGATTCATAAAATAACAATCATCACAGGTTATCATGAACTTGAACCAGAAAATAGCAAATGAACACAAGCAACAACTACCTTATACATTGATAAAGTGTACTAGGATTTGATGAAATCCACGGAACATTTCAGGATGTTGTATAAAGGACATAACTCCATAAAATTTAGGAGAGAAACATGAATATATACCCAATTTTTCAAGCAAAATGAAGTAAGTGGCCTTGACAGTCACCTGAGGTAAGCACTACTGAACGTTAATGTTACAGGGTAAGTATCTGTTAAGTGTAACAAAACAGAAATTGCACCATTGATGATAGTAAGACAAGTCATATGTTTCAAGTCCTTGGGAGTTGATAGCTAGTATCAATATATGTATACATCCAAACTGTCATCCTATACTAATCATTCTTACCAAGTTATTTCCAATGGAAAATTAACAACATTATCCTAAAAACCAATTTTCCAATTAAAACTACAGTAAACATTGCCCTATTTCCAGAGGGGAAAATTCAGACTCTTGGGTCATAAAATTCATGATTTTTGAGAAGCACCTAAACACTATTCCATCAATGAAAAGCACTAGAACATTTGATTCTTGTCATTTTGATTCAGGTTTGACCCCTTTTGGCCCCACTCATCAGCCACGGGATGTGGGGACCAGATAATTTATTATTTGTGGTTTGTCTTAAGCCAGGGAAGGTTTCTGCAAAATCTTGTTGAAATCAGTTCAGGCGTTTTGAAGCAGAAGTTGAAAGTGTAAAAAGTTTAAAGATGAATAACATAAGGTGATCACAATAGGTCACCATGAGACTTTCAGGTGACCTAATACAAAATGATAAGAAGTGGTACATAACAAATAACAAACCTGACATACTACTAAAAGAATCAATGGAAGATTTCCAAACAACAAAACATTTTCTTGTCTACAAATAAAATGTAGTTTGTTGAACTTGAAAAAAAAACAATCCTAGACAGTATACAACTATCACTAACACACTTATAAAGTGTTCAATTTTGCATTGAAATCCATGAAAAGTTGCAGGTAAAACAATGCAGGTAAAAATATGTGGACAGATCAGAAAAAAATAAGGACAGATGGACAGAACAAAGGTCAGACAATCCTATCCCTCTATATCTCTGTTTCTACCAATGTAGAAGTATAAAACTCCAACTTTAACAGATTTACTTCAATCACTCAATGACTATTCAGTATCAACAGTGTACAAAGTTTTCAAAACTCTGTCTTGGAATGTAGTCAAACATATTTAAACTGTACAAACATGTTCAATAATTTTCATGCCATGTGGTCCTGACTATCAGGTCACAGATTAACAAACAAAAATTCAACTAAATCAAAAACATTTCAAAGAGAAACACATCAAATGACTCAAAACCATCTCAAAGAAAACAACTTGTCACAGAATGGTGAGTGTTACAAAATGTTCAGGAAAAATAATTCACACTCTCAACCAATCAATCAATTAATAAGACCCACAAAGTGGTGTAATTAAAGCAACACATTGTGTGACAAGCCAACAATTTAGTAATATACAAACCCTTCCTGAGACACTCTGTAATCAATGACATATATTTCAGTATCTTTGTTTCACAGAAAATAAAGGCAGAGATTGTAACACATTATCACTGTTCAGGTTAATATCTACTGTTGGAGTTACTGATGCAAATGAAAACATATTGGCCTTATGGAAATAATAACATTCATACTGAAATATTCAGTAGTACTAAATGACTCCTACTATCCAGTAAGAATTTATCAAAATGAACCAGAAATTCTAATTTCAGACACTTTCTAAGATTTCCTGTTGGTTGTATCTAATGAAGACAGCATGTTGACAGCTGTAAGATTTTATAGAAATACTACTTTTGAACTATGTTATTTGTAAGATCCTTTATTAAATCCTTAGCTAATGCTGACATAATCATAACAACATAAGTCAAACACAACTGAATTAAATCTTACATGTTAGACTCAGGCCAGCTGTACATGGGCGGAATAAAACTGTCATATTCAGTGCTGTACTGTAAGGAACGTATATACGCCTCCCTGTCAGCAGGCTGTGGGTAAAGGTGGGCATGTTTGTTCTTATAGGCATACTCCAGTAGACCTACAGCCATCTTGGTGGATACTTCCTGAATGTTGGACAGGGGTGGATACACACGACCTTCAGCAAGGTTCTCCTCTGTTACCATACCCGCCAGTAACTATTGTAACATACATAAGATGGCATCATTTACTTTCCATTTCATCCTTACCTTGATCTTAATGTCAAGATAGTATGGGGTCAATATGAACCAATCAGTTGAGAGGTTCTCAAGATATGACACTTTAGCCTGCAACTGGCACTGCCATTATTGAAATACATCTGCCACATATATATTAGCTGTATTTGGCAGTGACGGAAAACAGCTGTATTTTAGCATGTGCATAAATTTGACGGAATTACTTTCTGAATTTAGTCAAGAATTACATTTCACAATATGAATAACTGTGATTTTATACGTTGCAATGTACAAGTTTAGTTACTTAAATTCATAAAAACGTTGTCATATCCATTGAAGTTTAAAACTACATTTCTGCATTGAGCAATTGTTTTGGTATCTGTCATCAAGCAAAATTCAGCAAATGTTGACAAGGTAAACAAAGATTGAACAACAAAATGTTTAAGTTTCAATGGCCTGATTTTCAATCAATGTTGTTGGATAAATAGAATACATAGTCAGTGCCTTGAAATATCAGCTGTATTTTGGCTTGAGACAGAAAGACAGAAGTGGTTCTTCACCAGAGGATTGTCATTTTTGTCTTTCTTCACCCTTGCCAAAATACAGCTTATATTTTAAGACATCTACTGCATTGCCAGACATTCTATTGTCCACTATTTCTATCCTTTTAATGATCAACCAATGGGGCTTACCTGTTTACTTGCTGAACTAATCAATACTTAATGTCAATTACTGGAGCTTACCATCAGTGGTAATACATTTAGTAAAGAGATCAAATACAATTATCGTTTGAAATATTTGGTTAATATTTGTTTGGACAGGTAAAATTATAATTTGGAATTCTTTTTTTTAGATCTAAGTATAGCTTTTAATACATACCTTTGCAGACTCCAGGAAGATCTCATCAGTGATGACTCTAATGTCACAGGCAATAACAGCCAGCGCCACTCCAGGAAACACATAGGCATTATTGCCTTGTCCTGGGCGATATGTCTTACCACCATGTATTACTTCTTTAAACGGACTGCCACTGGCAAAAACACATCGACCCTGAAAACAAAGTGTTATTTACATCAGCAATCAAAATTTTATTCAGGTTTAGAATTATTTCCTAAAATCATTTGTTAGTTGACTCATTCATTAACTATTGATCAAACTGAATTACATAAATAAGGGAGATAACCAATATCTACAGTGGAATACTAGGACTGGTCAGATCTATATACTTTATTGTATAAAGTAGTCAGGGAATAGTAGAACTGGTCAGATCTATATACTATATTGTATAAAGTAGTCAGGGAATAGTAGAACTGGTCAGATCTATATACTTTATTGTACAAAGTAGTCAGGTAATACTAGGACTGGTCAGATCTATATACTTTATTGTATAAAGTAGTCAGGGAATAGCAGAACTGGTCAGATCTATATACTTTATTGTACAAAGTAGTCAGGTAATACTAGGACCGGTCAGATCTATATACTTTATCGTATAAAGTAGTCATGGGAGTAGTAGAACTGGTCAGATCTATATACTTTATCGTATAAAGTAGTCATGGGAGTAGTAGAACTGGTCAGATCTATATACTTTATTGTACAAAGTAGTCAGGTAATACTAGGACTGGTCAGATCTATATACTTTATTGTACAAAGTAGTCATGGGAATAGTAGAACTGGTCCGATCTATATACTATATTGTATAAAGTAGTCAGGGAATAGTAGAACTGGTCAGATCTATATACTTTATTGTACAAAGTAGTCAGGTAATACTAGGACTGGTCAGATCTATATACTTTATTGTACAAAGTAGTCAGGTAATACTAGGACTGGTCAGATCTATATACTTTATTGTACAAAGTAGTCAGGTAATACTAGGACTGGTCAGATCTATATACTTTATTGTACAAAGTAGTCATGGGAGTAGTAGAACTGGTCAGATCTATATACTTTATTGTACAAAGTAGTCAGGTAATACTAGAACTGGTCAGATCTATATACTTTATTGTACAAAGTAGTCAGGTAATACTAGAACTGGTCAGATCTATATACTTTATTGTACAAAGTAGTCAGGTAATACTAGAACTGGTCAGATCTATATACTTTATTGTACAAAGTAGTCATGGGAGTAGTAGAACTGGTCAGATCTATATACTTTATTGTACAAAGTAGTCAGGTAATACTAGAACTGGTCAGATCTATATACTTTATTGTACAAAGTAGTCAGGTAATACTAGAACTGGTCAGATCTATATACTTTATTGTACAAAGTAGTCATGGGAGTAGTAGAACTGGTCAGATCTATATACTTTATTGTACAAAGTAGTCATGGGAGTAGTAGAACTGGTCAGATCTATATACTTTATTGTACAAAGTAGTCAGGTAATACTAGAACTGGTCAGATCTATATACTTTATTGTACAAAGTAGTCAGGTAATACTAGAACTGGTCAGATCTATATACTTTATTGTACAAAGTAGTCAGGTAATACTAGAACTGGTCAGATCTATATACTTTATTGTACAAAGTAGTCAGGTAATACTAGAACTGGTCAGATCTATATACTTTATTGTACAAAGTAGTCATGGGAGTAGTAGAACTGGTCAGATCTATATACTTTATTGTACAAAGTAGTCATGGGAGTAGTAGAACTGGTCAGATCTATATACTTTATTGTACAAAGTAGTCAGGTAATACTAGAACTGGTCAGATCTATATACTTTATTGTACAAAGTAGTCAGGTAATACTAGGACCGGTCAGATCTATATACTTTATTGTACAAAGTAGTCAGGTAATACTAGGACCGGTCAGATCTATATACTTTATTGTACAAAGTAGTCAGGTAATACTAGGACTGGTCAGATCTATATACTTTATTGCACAAAGTAGTCAAAGTGTTAACGCCTATTATACAGGCAAAAAGTCCTGTTGGTTCATTACCACCTCCTACATTGAACTGAATTTGCGAAGTGACAGAGCAGTCGTCAGAATCACATATAAATTGCTTGTAATCTTAGATCTTCTATTCTATAATTCAGTGGAGTAAATAAGATAACAACTACTTACATCTGTGTGCTTATAAGCCTGTTCAGCTGTGCATTCTGCTTTACTGGTAGGGTTACTAAGAGCAAATATAATAGGCCTTTCATGGTTGGCAGCCATGTCCTTCAATACCTCCTCATTAAATGCACCTGGTACTGCTGCTGCTCCTGTAGGATAAAAATATACTCAATGGGTAACACAGGTAATGATGGCAATGATGTGATGCTTACATCTCCAAGTGATATTACCTATAATAGCTGTAGACTGGGTTACATCTCCCAGTGATATTACCTATAATAGCTGTAGACTGGGTTACATCTCCCAGTGATATTACCTATAATAGCTGTAGACTGGGTTACATCTCCCAGTGATATTACCTATAATAGCTGGGTTACATCTCCCAGTGATATTACCTATAATAGCTGGGTTACATCTCCCAGTAATATTATCTATAATAGCTGTAGACTGGGTTACATCTTCCAGTGATATTACCTATAATAGCTGTAGACTGGGTTACATCTCCCCGTGATATTACCTATAATAGCTGGGTTACATCTCCCAGTGATATTACCTATAATAGCTGTAGACTGGGTTACATCTCCCAGTGATATTACCTATAATGGCTGTAGACTGGGTTACATCTCCCAGTGATATTACCTATAATAGCTGTAGACTGGGTTACATCTCCCAGTGATATTACCTATAATGGCTGTAGACTGGGTTACATCTCCCAGTGATATTACCTATAATAGCTGGGTTACATCTCCCAGTGATATTACCTATAATAACTGTAGACTGGGTTACATCTCCCAGTGATATTACCTATAATAGCTGTAGACTGGGTTACATCTCCCAGTGATATTACCTATAATAGCTGTAGACTGGGTTACATCTCCCAGTGATATTACCTATAATAACTGTAGACTGGGTTACATCTCCCAGTGATATTACCTATAATAGCTGTAGACTGGGTTACATCTCCCAGTGATATTACCTATAATAGCTGTAGACTGGGTTACATCTCCCAGTGATATTATCTATAATAGCTGGGTTACATCTCCCAGTGATATTACCTATAATAGCTGGGTTACATCTCCCAGTGATATTACCTATAATAGCTGGGTTACATCTCCCAGTGATATTACCTATAATAGCTGGGTTACATCTCCCAGTGATATTACCTATAATAGCTGGGTTACATCTCCCAGTGATATTACCTATAATAGCTGTAGACTGGGTTACATCTCCCAGTGATATTACCTATAATAGCTGGGTTACATCTCCCAGTGATATTACCTATAATAGCTGGGTTACATCTCCCAGTGATATTACCTATAATAGCTGGGTTACATCTCCCAGTGATATTACCTATAATAGCTGTAGACTGGGTTACATCTCCCAGTGATATTACCTATAATAGCTGTAGACTGGGTTACATCTCCCAGTGATATTACCTATAATAGCTGTAGACTGGGTTACATCTCCCAGTGATATTACCTATAATAGCTGGGTTACATCTCCCAGTGATATTACCTATAATAACTGTAGACTGGGTTACATCTCCCAGTGATATTACCTATAATAGCTGTAGACTGGGTTACATCTCCCAGTGATATTACCTATAATAGCTGTAGACTGGGTTACATCTCCCAGTGATATTACCTATAATAGCTGTAGACTGGGTTATATCTCCCAGTGATATTACCTATAATAGCTGTAGACTGGGTTACATCTCCCAGTGATATTACCTATAATAGCTGTAGACTGGGTTACATCTCCCAGTGATATTACCTATAATAGCTGGGTTACATCTCCCAGTGATATTACCTATAATAGCTGGGTTACATCTCCCAGTGATATTACCTATAATAGCTGGGTTACATCTCCCAGTGATATTACCTATAATAGCTGGGTTACATCTCCCAGTGATATTACCTATAATAGCTGGGTTACATCTCCCAGTGATATTACCTATAATAGCTGTAGACTGGGTTACATCTCCCAGTGATATTACCTATAATAGCTGTAGACTGGGTTACATCTCCCAGTGATATTACCTATAATAGCTGGGTTACATCTCCCAGTGATATTACCTATAATAGGGTTACATCTCCCAGTGATATTACCTATAATAGCTGGGTTACATCTCCCAGTGATATTACCTATAATAGCTGGGTTACATCTCCCAGTGATATTACCTATAATAGCTGTAGACTGGGTTACATCTCCCAGTGATATTACCTATAATAGTGTAGACTGGGTTACATCTCCCAGTGATATTACCTATAATAGCTGTAGACTGAGTTACATCTCCCAGTGATATTACCTATAATAGCTGTAGACTGGGTTACATCTCCCAGTGATATTACCTATAATAGCTGGGTTACATCTCCCAGTGATATTACCTATAATAGCTGTAGACTGGGTTACATCTCCCAGTGATATTATCTATAATAGCTGTAGACTGGGTTACATCTCCCAGTGATATTACCTATAGCTGTAGACTGGGTTACATCTCCCAGTGATATTACCTATAGCTTCAGACTGGGTTACATCTCCCAGTGATATTACATCTCCCAATGATATTACCTATAATAGCTGTAGGTTTAATTTCCTTTATGACGTTCTCAAGTTTGTCTATAGGTTTGTGTTCTTGTGCAAACAACACCTTCTCCCCTGTTACTCCCCCTGATGGCCGATTCTGTAAACAGACAAAAATTCAACACTTTTAAGAAATTGAATCATACAAAATGTAAACAGTACCAATTGCTTAGTAAACAGCCTGTTGTCAGATTTATAATCAATCAATGCCTTAGAAGAAATTGATGGTCACACATTAAAGCTATTGACTGGAGGAACTAATGTTCAATAAAACCATTCAGTCATTAAAACAGAGAAACTAAAGGGATTACTTCATACGATTTCACACAAATATGCCATTCCTCCAGGTCCAGAATTAACCAGTTATTTTGTGTCCTTGTACATCAAGGTGAAGTATGAAATACCCATTTAATTACCTTGGTATATTGCTATTTCTGGATTTAACCACACTGTTCTTCACATAGACAAGAATTTGAGTCAATGGTCAAAAGTGATGTGATTTCTAGGTAAACATTATAAATATAACTGATGTTTAGGACAAAAGAGATAAAAGATACAGTAACATGTTATATGTAATGGTAAACGTAGGTATTATTCTAAGGTCCTGTCAGTTCTAAGTAACATGGTCCTAACAGATCTAAGTAACTTGGTCCTAACAGTCCTAAGTAACTTGGTCCTAACAGTCCTAAGTAACAAGGTCCTAACAGTGTAAGTAACATTGTCCTCACAGTCCTAAGTAATTTGGGCCTTACAGTCCTAAGTAACAAGGTCCTAACAGTCTTAAGTAGCTTTGTCCTAACAGTGTAAGTAACATGGTCCTAACAGTCCTAAGTAACTTTGTCCTAACAGTGTAAGTAACATGGTCCTAATAGTCCTAAGTAATTTGGGCCTTACAGTCCTAAGTAACTTTGTCCTAACAGTCCTAAGTAACTTTGTCCTATCAGTGTAAGTAACATGGTCCTAACAGTCCTAAGTAATTTGGGCCTTACAGTCCTAAGTAACAAGGTCCTAACAGTCCTAAGTAACTTTGTCCTAACAGTGTAAGTAACATGGTCCTCACAGTCCTAAGTAACTTTGTCCTAACAGTGTAAGTAACATGGTCCTAACAGTCCTAAGTAACTTGGCCCTGACAGTCCTAAGTAACTTTGTCCTAACAGTCCTAAGTAACATGGTCCTAACAGTCCTAAGTAACTTGGTCCTAACAGTCCTAAGTAACTTGGTCCTAATAGTCCTAAGTAACATGGTCCTAACAGTCCTAAGTAACTTTGTCCTAACAATGTAAGTAACATGGTCCTAACAGTCCTAAGTAGCTTTGTCCTAACAGTCCTAAGTAATTTGGTCCTTACAGTCCTAAGTAACAAGGCCTTACAGTCCTAAGTAACAAGGTCCTAACAGTCTTAAGTAACTTTGTCCTAACAGTGTAAGTAACATGTTCCTAACAGTCCTAAGTAACTTGGCCCTAACAGTCCAAAGTAACTTTGTCCTAACAATGTAAGTAACATGGTCCTAACAGTCCTAAGTAACTTGGCCCTAACAGTCCTAAGTAACTTTGTCCTAACAATGTAAGTAACATTGTCCTCACAGTCCTAAGTAACTTTGTCCTAACAGTGTAAGTAACATGGTCCTAACAGTCCTAAGTAACTTGGCCCTGACAGTCCTAAGTAACTTTGTCCTAACAATGTAAGTAACATGGTCCTAACAGTCCTAAGTAACATGGTCCTGACAGTCCTAAGTAACATGGTCCTAACAGTCCTAAGTAACTTGGTCCTAACAGTCCTAAGTAACATGGTCCTAACAGTCCTAAGTAACTTGGTCCTAACAGTCCTAAGTAACTTGGTCCTAACAGTCCTAAGTAACATGGTCCTAACAGTCCTAAGTAACTTGGCCCTAACAGTCCTAAGTAACTTTGTCCTAACAATGTAAGTAACATGGTCCTAACAGTCCTAAGTAACTTTAGCCTAGCAGTCCCAAGTAACTAGATAAATACCATGTTTTTCTTTTACTTACTACAATCATCACTCTAATACAGGAAACAAACTATCTGATAAAAACAAAAATATGAAGCGAATATTTCTAATTACCTTAACTATGAGGCCACGAGAGTCCACCATCCAAATCCTCTTAACAGCCTCGGATTCTGACATCCCGGTCTCCTTCATAGCCATCAACAACAGCTTGGCAATCCCGATAGAGGCCTGTACAGGAGAATAACTTATCCTAGAACTATTGTAACATACAGAGAGGGTGTTGCATACAAAGATAATATTTCACTTCAACAGAAAAAATATGCCAATTTCAATTCATTCTTGTTTATATCAGCATTTTGCCATTCTCATCATATGTATATATGAATTTCACAAACACTGAACAAAAGTTAGACATGTGATACATGATGTCTATTCATCGTCTACCTACACACATATATTTCAGTATCCCTAGATACATAAACCTAGCTAACACTATGTATGATTACATCATGCTGTAGGTAGCTGAGGTATACAAGTTGGAATAGTTACCTCCCCTGCACCTTGAAAGAGGAACACATTCTGGGGAAGAGATATCTTGGTGATTTGCAGACTGGCCAGTATACCAGCCACAGCTACGGCAGCTGTACCTGTAATTAATAATGTACAAAGAGTGTTAATTATCTTCATATGTCTTTAGGGTAGATAATACCACTCTGTTACATGTATATTAAATATCTGAGTAACATTTTTCTATTGTAAATATCATCTATCTTTTATATTAAATATTTGGGTATCAATATCTTTACCTATCTCTATTGTAAATATCATCTATCTTTAAAATTAAATATTTGGGTATCAATATCTTTACCTATCTCTATTGTACATATTATCTATCTTTTAAATTAAATATTTGGGTATCAATATCTTTACCTATCTCTATTGTAAATATTATCTATCTTTAAAATTAAATATTTGGGTATCAATATCTTTACCTATCTCTATTGTAAATATTATCTATCTTTAAAATTAAATATTTGGGTATCAATATCTTTACCTATCTCTATTGTAAATATTATCTATCTTTAAAATTAAATATTTGGGTATCAATATCTTTACCTATCTCTATTGTAAATATTATCTATCTATTATAATTAAATATTTGGGTATCAATATCTTTACCTATCTCTATTGTAAATATTATCTATCTTTTGTATTAAATATTTGGGTATCAATATCTTTACCTATCTCTATTATAAATATTATCTATCTTTTGTATTAAATATTTGGGTATCAATATCTTTACCTATCTCTATTGTAAATATTATCTATCTTTTATATTAAATATTTGGGTATCAATATCTTTACCTATCTCTATTGTACATATTATCATTTTGTTATAGTGACAAAAATCTCCCTGAATATCATTTTAAATAGAAGACACTTAACTGTGTACACATTCCATCATTTTTTTAACATACTGTAGATTTAAGTCAGTACAGCATGTTTGATTTAAATTTTTAAACACTAACTTTCTCTGTCAGTAACTCAATCATCTTGTATATTAGGATGGACGTTCTTATAACACAACCAGTAGATTATTAGACTTTGGTCAATTCCGTAACATCTTGTACACTACATATGTCAGTGGTAGTACACTCCACACTGGTCATTTGTCTGATGAAGGTGACCATGTAGATCTCGAACACTATGAATGTCAGTACTAGTACGCTCCACACTGGTCATTTGTCTGATGAAGGTGACCATGTAGACATCGAAACGTCACATTCTAATCTTCTACTGGTTGTGTTATAAGATGAAGGTGACTGTGTAGTCATCCAAACGTCACACTGTAATCTTCTATTGGTTGTGTTATAAGATGAAGGTGACCGTGTATTATAAGATGAATGTGAACGTGTAGTCATCGAAATGTCACACTCTAATCTTCTATTGGTTGTGTTATAAGATGAATGTGACCGTGTAGTCATGAAACGTCACATTCTAATCTTCTACTGGTTGTGTTATAAGATGAAGGTGACCGTGTAGTCATTGAAATGTCACACTCTAATCTTCTACTGGTTGTGTTATAAGATGAAGGTGACCGTGTAGTCACAGAAACGTCACACTCTAATCTTCTACTGGTTGTGTTATAAGATGAAGGTGACTGTGTAGTCATCGAAATGTCACACTCTAATCTTCTACTGGTTGTGTTATAAGATGAAGGTGACCGTGTAGTCATCGAAATGTCACACTCTAATCTTCTATTGGTTGTGTTATAAGATGAAGGTGACCGTGTAGTCATCGAAATGTCACACTTCTTCTAATCTTCTACACACTCTCAATCTTCTATTGGTTGTGTTATAAGATGAAGTTGACCGTGTAGTCATGAAATGTCACACTCTAATCTTCTATTGGTTGTGTTATAAGATGAAGTTGACCGTGTAGTCATGAAATGTCACACTCTAATCTTCTATTGGTTGTGTTATAAGATGAAGTTGACCGTGTAGTCATGAAATGTCACACTCTAATCTTCTACTGGTTGTGTTATAAGATGAAGGTGACCGTGTATTATAAGATGAAGTTGACCGTGTAGTCATGAAACGTCACACTCTAATCTTCTATTGGTTGTGTTATAAGATGAAGTTGACCGTGTTGTGTTAGGCAGTCCGTGTAGTCATGAAACGTCACACTCTAATCTTCTATTGGTTGTGTTATAAGATGAAGGTGACCGTGTAGTCATGAAACGTCACACTCTAATCTTCTACTGGTTGTGTTATAAGATGAAGGTGACTGTGTAGTCATGAAACGTCACATTCTAATCTTCTACTGGTTGTGTTATAAGATGAAGGTGACTGGGTAGTCATGAAATGTCACATCCTAATCTTCTACTGGTTGTGTTATAAGAACTTCCATTCTACTGACATTACCAACCTTATGAAAATGTTCCAAAATATCTTGAATATGGTTATTATTTACAGTAGACATTTACACTCATTGGAAGTGTTACCTTGATAATGCAGTATTGAGTCATTACTGTGAGGAGTCTTAACTCTGTGTTAAGTCTTAAGCCAGTGTCAAATCATCACTCTGTGTTGGGTGTGAAGTATATCTGACACAAGCTGAACAAATCAATGACTCAGTTTGAATGTCCTTTTAATTAACAGGTGACTCAGGGTCAAGTATTTAACTCCATTTCACGTGCATCTCAGTGTTGAGTGTTGAGTTTAACTCCGTGTCCAGTACTAAGTCTATTTGATACCAGTAATCCCAGTCTTTGACTCACCTTGAATGTCGTCGTTAAATGTACAGTAATTTGACCTGTACTTCTCTAAGAACCTGAAGGCGTTGTGGTTACCAAAGTCTTCAAACTGTATCAGTGTACTAGGGCCATACCTGTAGTTAAAATAATCATTCCAGTTTCCAGGAGACAGTAACACAGGTACAAAACTCCTCAGTTTTCTACACTGTGGAGACATTTCGTCCTTAGTAGTAAAATGTTGTGTGAATGGGAAGTATGTCAAAATATTTCTAAACATGTCTGCTAAGTGCTGGGACTAACTGAGAAAAGTGTTCTAAAGTTCCTACAATATATCATCTCCTATCACTGAGACATGTAAACTAAGAGATAATTACCAGAACGGTTGTGTGACATTTTCCTTAAAAATAACCTCTAATCCCAGACAGAATTATAGATTTGCTTTTTCTTTTGTGAAAGAGACTCCTTCCTAAAAATTTCTTCTAAGACTTATGAGTTTGCTCAGTTTTTTTATGATTTTATAGTTACTTACCTAGTAACAACAGCTGACATAAACTCATCGACAAACTCATCATATTTAGGTCCTTTCTCCCGTTTCTGACGCAGACCTATGTACAGTGGGTCCTTGAGTAAAGTCTGGTTAAATAAATACGGTAGATGTGATTAAGAGACCCTTGGATTAACTAGATTTGTAATGGATACAAAATTCTATAAGTTAATATTTCCTGTATAAGTTTTGAAGAGCAAGAAAACATGTGTATTAAATGCTAAAACACAAGGTTGATTCTACAAGGTCATAACACACTTCAAAATTCTACCATCATAAAAGATACTTCCAAAACTGGTGGACAGAAAGAGCAACGTGTTTCAGTGTAAGAACTATGTGGTTATACAACACTGACTTCAGTTCTACATAAAACAGATGACAACAGTATTACCTCATTGTTGGTGCCAACATCCAACATGATTGGGAGGCAATGGTTAGGTTTAATACCGGCCAGTCCAGTGTAAAGGGATAGTTTTCCTACAGGGATTCCCATCCCATAACATCCCAAGTCTCCTAAACCTAGGATCCTCTCACCATCAGTCACCACGATAGCCTGCAATCACGGAGTAAATATGTAGTATCTATATATCAACCTGGTATTGTCTCTTATGTGTTACAGTATACCAAAGCAGTGGTTTTATATTTGTAAAGAGTCTCTCCTGCATTGTTTTCTTTATGGTTTATTAATATAACCATATGAAATAGTTTTGGTATATATATATCAAATTGTTCAATCCGGATTCCTCAATCAAAAGAAATTTAACAAAAGCCCCCAATCCCAAATTCTTACATAACACAAACCAAAGTCAGTTTTTTTTTTAACTACATGGATTCTCATATTAGAAGAATGTAGTGAAAAAATTAGCTCTTGATCCATAGATCACCTTGACTTCATCAATCACCCAGTTGCTGAGAACATCCAACACATGGCCCTTGTCTTTGATAGTGATGTATAGTCCCCTGAAATGCAGAATATTACAAAAAAAATAAATCAGTCTGGGAGCTAGCTATATAACGTGTACAAACTTCAGATATAAAAATACATAAGTTGACAGAGTAATAAGATTAACAAGCAAGATTAAAAATGCATTTATATGTACAATAAATGACTTTATTGATTAAAAGTTTTTTAAGTGTCGTGTATGGTATACATCCTTTACATCTGGTCTTCAACAACTTGATGAAGCTACAGTCAAAATAATTGAGTACCAAAGTAAATAGTCCTTGTAAACATTTCTCCTCAATCAATAAAGAAAAATGGTAACTGTTGACTTAGTATGGTTGTACACCAGATGTCCATGAACATTGAGTTGTACATACAGGTACAACACAAAGTCAATAATCATAAACATGCAGGGTTTTCCCTAATTTTGTTAGTAGTAGGCTGTGTAGTGAAAGTAGGAGGCTGGCAAAGCAAGCTGACCCCAGCCGCAACGAGGCGAGGTGGGGGTGGCCTGCCTTGTACGTGTAGTCGTGTACGGAACATTATTATGGAACTGGATTGGTGTAGGCGGCCAAATGGTCAAAGCAGCCGGTCAAATTGGCCAGCGACCGGCTCTTATGGAAAACCCTGAACATGTCTAGAAAACAACATCTACAAATGTCCCGATAATGTGTCCCTACAGTCTTCAATCTTATCTACAAATGTCCCACTAATGTGTTCCTACATTCTTCAATCTTATCTACAAATGTCCCACTAATGTGTCCCTACAATCTTCAATCTTATCTACAAATGTCCCAATAATGTGTCCCTACAATCTTATCTACAATTGTCCTACTAATGTGTCCCTACATTCTTCAATCTTATCTACAAATGTCCCACTAATGTGTCCCTACAATCTTATCTACAATTGTCCCAATAATGTGTTCCATCAGTCTTCAATATTATGTATAAATGTCCCTGTAAAATGTCCTTCCAGTTCTCAATCTAATATGACCCACCTCCATGCTCCTAAACACATCCATATTCCTGAACACGTCCTCAATCTTATCTACAAATGTTTGACCAACATGTCCCTACAGTTCTTAACTTTGCAATAAAATCTCTATAATTCCCACTAACATGTCTTCAAAGTCCTCAATCTAACATGAAATCTACATATGTCCCACTTATATGTAACTCCAGTCTACGATCTTATCTACGAACATCCCATCCAAATATCACAACAGTCCTCACTCTTATCCACACATGACTCACCCATGTGTCACTTTAATCCTCAATCTACCACAAATGTGATGTGAATCAAGTTCACATATGTCCCACTAACATGCCCATATAGTACAGTCCTGAATTTCCATCTGTTCAATACTTGGAAAAACTTCACAAAAAAATTATTGTGTAACATTTCTTGTGGCAGTAGAAAAATAAAGTTAAGTTATTAATCCTTTGTTTTTAGACCTATGATATACATATTAGATCATTTGAGATACTTTATTACACTAATTCTGCGACATTTGTGGCTGCATCCATTTTTATAAAATCCATTTTCAGTTATGATTATTACATACAAAACTTATATATCAAAAGACCTGTCTAGACAACAAAAAGAAAATTAGAAATCACTTAAGTTGAGTAAACTGCATACAAACATTCATTTTTTTCATGTAATTTCTTTTATTTTATTATTATTGATTTATTCTAGTTATCAATTTAAGGAATGAGAATGTTAAGATTGCTTTATAGAAATACGCTCCATGCTTATCGATAAAATCTCCCTGGGTCAGTAAATAGAATAGCATTGATCAATAATGCTTTTCTTACCTGGGTTTTCTGTAGATGAGTCCATACTTGAGACAAGCTAGACCCACAGTTGGGGTATAGATTACTGGCATCATTAACTCCACATTTTCAGAGACTACTTTATAAAAAAGTTTTTCATTTCGGTCTTGGAGAGCCATGAGGTAGATGTAACGATCAAGGTCATTCTGCCAACGATGGAAATTCTCCATCACAGTATAAACTTGTTGCTCTTGGTTTAATTGGGCTGGAGGCATCAGACCATGAACACCAAGGATCTGTCTTTCCTCTAAAGTGAATGCCAAACCCTGAAGGATGATAATTATGGTGTTTACATTTAGTATTACTTCATATATTTTGGAACTAAAACTTGACTGGTGTATGAAATTAATAGTGTTGATTAAGGGTAAACTACAGAATGGCAAGCAACCATTTGATTCCGATACCCAGTACAGCCCAAAATCTTGTGTACCTTACTTGTGGATATCTGCGTAAAAGTATATGCTGACAATATGCAGCATGTTGAATTATATTTAATTTCAAAATATTTGCATAAATAATTTAGATATAAGCGAAGTGTAACAATCGGGGCTGTAATTGAACTTTCACTCATGCATCATCGGTCTGTCCTTGTGCTAATTACCGACATAGAGTGATGACCTTGTGAGATAAGAGTATATTGATGTGATTTAGGGTGTGTGTCGTAAGATCAGCTGATGACGTTCCCGAGTTACCACGACTCTGGTCACGTCTCTCCGGTAATAATGTCAAGTCATGTCACGGCTAAAGAGGATCAACATTATGTATTCAAACGAAATACGATAAAACAAATGAAACAACATGTCGCCATAGCAGCAAAATTGATATAAACAAGAATAAATTAATCGAATATCAATCAGAACAACATAACACACGGAGCTGACTGACTGCAGTACTGTCAGTTTGATCATGCCGGTTAACAATTCGGCGACTTTAATTAACTCATATGGCAACATAACAAGTTTGGTTATTTAGCAGATCGTCATTTAAATACCTTGTTAAGAAGTGGATCCCGTAACAGGTCGAGACCTCTCACTCTAGGTCGAGCAACCGGCATTATCGGTCCCTTCTTGGCAGCAGACGCTTCCTTCTCGGCCATTTTCCCTTGCTAGTAATCACCAGCGCCACCAAGTAGGAAAAGACGGTAACTACCGTTAAATGTACACAGGAGAGTTCCGAAAACTTTTAACGAGCGAAACATTCAAAGATGAACCTGCAAGTACAATAATCCTTAACACATAACCCAAATTAGCTTGTTAGAGCACAAAGGTCCTTGTAATGAACACAATAAATTTAATCTATTTGATGTTTACTTTACAGATTTGCTAAAATTAAACTTTACCATAAACATTTAAAGCCTACTTAGTGACACTTATTCTATGTCAAGTTCACTGATATGAATTTCACGTTTCACGGTTAATCAGTGTCCGAATATATGATTGATGCGACATAGTTGTAGGCGATCACGAATTTCTGTCCTTTTTTCAAACCAATAAATTATTTTATCAAAGTTTATATGCCCATACAGCGTGTCATCGTTATTCAAACGATAAAAACGCACACAGACACAACAAATCATTAATGGCGGTATATCCTTCCATCAACAACTTATATCGAGAGCTCTCCCAACCAGTATGCAACTGTATTTTTTAAAACGAATATATAACTATTTCGTCAAACTGAATATCAATCTCGATCACATCAACACTTATATACCCCACCGGACATGCCAGGAGATGTTTACTTACTAATGTAAACTTCTGATGATAAAATAAAAGTGTCTACATCGACCTTAATGGTCTGTTCTATAGTTAACTTGTCTTTGGAATGGAGTTAGTACAACTATTACTGTAAAGATGGACTTATTACACAGTTTTCATGTACGGACAGTTCTTACCTGGCTAGTTTGACCACTGTCCGGTGAAGTCTGTATTCCGTGTCAGTGATACAGATAGCTATCTCCTGTATACGTACGTAGTATTAAGTACTGTCCAGCGGATGAATATCCACAGCCAGTATGTGTATACTTTATAATCTATATCCGAACAGCCAACAAATATCTATTAGCAATTGGAATACAGAGAGGACCACAACATCATTACTTGAGACTATCAGTAGTTTGTAGGTAAAGACTTAAACAACGAAAATGGCGAAAAATCCTGTTACACTGACGTCATTGTAGGTAAACATTCCAATAAAACAGTTCACTGACGATTAATCCCTCACAACGGTAGATTTTTAACGATTCTCTCCTGCTTTGTTAAACATCATCACATCGTCATATCACCGACATGTTCTTCCCCCAAATATCCTAACCATGAACACAGTATGATGTATTACATATCGTAACACGTCACGTCTGTATGTCTTTCACCAGTATACAATGTATTACACTTTATATCACACCACATGACGTCTGTATGTCTTTCACCAGTATACAATGTTTTACACTTTATATCACACTACGTGACGTCTGCGTGTCCTTCACCAGTATAAAATGTATAACACTTTATATCAAACCACATCACGTCTGTATGTCTTTCACCAGTATACAATGTTTTACACTTTATATCACACCACGTGACGTCTGCGTGTCCTTCACCAGTATAAAATGTATAACACTTTATATCACACCACGTAACGTCTGTATGTCTTTTACCAGTATATAATGTATTACACTTTATATCACACCACGTGACGTCTTTATGTCTTTCACCAGTATACAATGTATAATAACACTTTATATCACACCACGTGACGCCTGTATGTCTTTCACCAGTATACAATGTATTACACTTTATATCACACCACGTGACGCCTGTATGACTTTAACCAGTATACAATGTATTATATTTTATATAGTATACAATCTTACGGTGTCTATGACAGATCCAATGCATCTCACACCAAATGGTTGGTAGTTATACAGTGTCCTGTCAGTTTATAGGTTTATTACCACAGTTTAGTATAGTACCACTGTCGTACGTCCGTCCGGCGTCTTTTGTCTATCGTGAAGTTTTATTTGCCCAGAGATCTCCCTCTACAGCCTCCAACCAATCTCTTTTAAACTTGTCGGGATTAATCATTCAATAGTTCGACTGTATTTGTAAGAAAGGAATTGTCCATTTTTCTCTTCGTATTCTTTTCCAACATGGCAGATTCCTTAACTATATCAGGAAATAGTGTTTTATTGGGCGACAATTTGTGGGAGTTACTTTTCCCATTTTTTAGCATTCTAATCTTGTCTGTAGACCCCCACCCTTATCCCTTCTCCACACCCCCATAACTCCATGCCGGGATTTACAGCCATGACATTGTGTTTTCACATTTTTGTAATTTTACATCTTTTATTGAAGAGTTGTCGCCCTTTTTCTCATTGTTTTAATCATGTGTAGATATTTCAGATTTTGACTAATTAAAACATAAAGGACTTGCCCTTGCCGGTTTGATTCAATCTTTCTATTTTGTCATCATTTCGATACCGTGAAAGGTTGTAGGTATAGTAACCACAGTTTACACCGTGTCGTGGTGCCACTTGTACTATTGTCTTCCTTCTCACTTCCTGAACATTTGTAAGTACTGAAGTCCACACGCAGCTGAAGTATATACAGTGTAAGTGGTACTTAAATCTTTCGTGGCCTTGATGTGATGACCAGAGATAACGTGATATGGTATGCTAAATATGTTTCAAGCTGATACGATTTTCTCGGTCAGATATTACGTATAACGCACACGTTATCATGCTCTTATCATTTTTTGCACTTAATTAGTTTGATGTCATTTCACGCATTCGTTTCAACGAGATTTCGTTCACATATCAATACGATAAAAAATAAACAAACAAACAATCTCATAAAATTATCTTGCCGCCCCGATACTCCCCTTGTTCCCCGTGCCCCCCCCCCCCCCTTCACCTGTACAAGTACCTACAACACATCAGCGCTATCTACCTACTGTACCTCCGCTGTATACCTCTATATCTCCCTACTGCTCATCTGTCGTATACTCGTACAATCCTGTATCTGTCTACTGTACCTCCGCTGTATACCTCTATACTCGTACAATTCTGTATCTACCCACTGAACCTCCACTGTATACCTCTATATCTCCCTACTGCCCATCTGTCGTATATTCGTACAATTCTGTATCTACCTACTGTACCTCCGCTGTATACCCCTATATCTCCCTACTGCTCATATGTCGTATACTCGTACAATTCTGTATCTACCCACTGAACCTCCACTGTATACCCCTATATCTCCCTACTGCTCATATGTCGTATACTCGTACAATTCTGTATCTACCCACTGAACCTCCACTGTATACCCCTATATCTCCCTACTGCTCATCTGTCGTATACTCGTACAATTCTGTATCTACCCACTGTACCTCCGCCGTATACCTCTATACTCGTACAATTCTGTATCTACCCACTGTACCTCCGCTGTATACCTCTATACTCGTACAATTCTGTATCTACCCACTGTACCTCCGCTGTATACCTCTATACTCGTACAATTATGTATCTACCCACTGTACCTCCGCTGTATACCTCTATACTCGTACAATTCTGTATCTACCCACTGAACCTCCACTGTATACCCCTATATCTCCCTACTGCTCATCTGTCGTATACTTGTACAATTCTGTATCTACCCACTGAACCTCCACTGTATACCCCTATATCTCCCTACTGCTCATCTGTCGTATACTCGTACAATTCTGTATCTACCTACTGTACCTCCACTGTATATCTCTATACTCGTACAATTCTGTATCTACCCACTGAACCTCCACTGTATACCTCTATATCTCCCTACTGCTCATATGTCGTATACTCGCATACTTCTTTATCTATCTGGCTACTGCCACTCAGTCGGATTCTCCTGTACATGTGTTGACTACTGTCCCTCCGTCGGCTATCGTCCCCCTGCCTTGTACCCCTGTATTTGTCTGCTGGGCTTTGTATCAGACAAATTGACTACAGTTCCTCTGCCTTGTATCCCTGTATTTGTCTGCTGGGCTTTGTATCAGACAAATTGACTACTGTTCCTCTGCCTTGTACCCCTGTATTTCTCTACTGGGCTTTGTTTCAGACAAATTGACTACTGTCTCTCCGCTGTGTACCTATCTATCTACAGTTTCCCCCACCACGTGCTCCTATAACTGTCATCTGACACTCCGTTTTCACCTAATATCTATAGTTCCCCTCATAAACTCCTTTGTCTGGCTTTCTCTCTTTTGTTGAGTACCCCGACCGTCTATCCGTCTTGTAACCACGTTATTATGTAGGAACTGACCTTCCGTCGTATACCTACATGTATGTATCTGGATACTTCACCATTGTCCTCCCGCCATACTTCAGCATCTGGACTTAGACACGTGTTGCTGTATCTGTGTAACCTTGTGTCTATCGGAACACAGCAATGTCCCTCTGTTTGAAGGGGCTGCGATCACTTGGCGATAGTTTAAGACCCTACTCGGGGCAAATAACAAGACGTTATCCGTATTCCTCTACAAAGAATGCGACGGATCTCTCGCATGTTATTCAGTGAGGTAGCCATCAGCTACAAATAAAGCATTCGAGATGATCAATATATGCAAACAAACCGATGTCTGTCTGTTACATATTCCTGTGTTTAATTGACACTTCCATATCTTACACTACATTAAGATCTGTTATCGTCTTTTCCCCTCTTTTACCTTCACGTCAGTATGTCTTGTTGTCATATCCCAATGAAGACAATCTCCTTTAGCAAGAATTTGTGCTGTCCAATGTTGTTTAATTATGTCAATTAAGATTGTTGATGCTTAAGGTGTGTACTTTGGCTGGGTTGAATATAAACTCGTTCCTGTGACATACCGGCCGAGTACAGTCTATATCACCTAGTATAATCCCATTACTAATTGTTCCCAAGTCGACACAATGTTAGCTCTACAATTTAAACGTCTGTTTAAAGTTGTCACAAATCAGGAAAGTAAACAAATACGTAAATGACACGAACATGAAATCCCGTCCTGAAATTGTGTGGATCCAGGCTTTGGATTGTGAAATAAAACACGTGATACTACATAGACTTGTATTATATTGATAAACACGGATTGGAGATAAGATTTAATTTTAAATGACGACAATACGCGTGGATTACATATAAATATGTGTCTGTGGTAATGACTCCTTCAAAAAATCATAAATGTTTGCAGTTAAAATATTTTCCTATTTAAAAAGAGTGCCAATATTGAGGAGTTGATTGAGACGTGATCAATTACTGTATTATGAGGTGTGTGGTGCACGCACTTTAAACGACGTAAGTCACAATTCAACTTGTGAAGTAGTAATTCGAATTATATTACTCCAACAACATTTTATTGAAATGTAATCTATCAAAAATTAATAAGCCGAAGGGATGTAACGTGACGTAACGGGCGAAATATTTGTTGTAAAATGGCAGTGGATGCTTGGAACAATCACCTGTATACCATCAGGGCGAGACAGAGGCTGTTCTACAGTAGTAACCAGGTAAATATATACCATCAGGGCGAGACAGAGGCTGTTCTACAGTAGTAACCGGGTAAATATATACCATCAGGGCGAGACAGAGGATGTTCTACAGTAGTAACCAGGTAAATATATACCATCAGGGCGAGACAGAGGCTGTTCTACAGTAGTAACCAGGTAAATATATACCATCAGGGCGAGACAGAGGCTGTTCTACAGTAGTAACCGGGTAAATATATACCATCAGGGCGAGACAGAGGCTGTTCTGCAGTAGTAACCGGGTAAATATATACCATCAGGGCGAGACAGAGGATGTTCTACAGTAGTAACCAGGTAAATATATACCATCAGGGCGAGACAGAGGATGTTCTACAGTAGTAACCGGGTAAATTTATACCATCAGGGCGAGACAGAGGCTGTTCTACAGTAGTAACCGGGTAAATATATACCATCAGGGCGAGACAGAGGCTGTTCTACAGTAGTAACCGGGTAAATATATACCATCAGGGAGGGACAGAGGCTGTTCTACAGTAGTAACCAGGTAAATATATACCATCAGGGAGAGACAGAGGCTGTTCTACAGTAGTAACCAGGTAAATATATACCATCAGGGCGAGACAGAGGCTGTTCTACAGTAGTAACCAGGTAAATATATACCATCAGGGCGAGACAGAGGCTGTTCTACAGTAGTAACCGGGTAAATATATACCATCAGGGAGGGGCAGAGGCTGTTCTACAGTAGTAACCAGGTAAATATATACCATCAGGGAGAGACAGAGGCTGTTCTACAGTAGTAACCAGGTAAATATATACCATCAGGGCGAGACAGAGGCTGTTCTACAGTAGTAACCGGGTAAATATATACCATCAGGGCGAGACAGAGGATGTTCTACAGTAGTAACCGGGTAAATATATACCATCAGGGCGAGACAGAGGCTGTTCTACAGTAGTAACCAGGTAAATATATACCATCAGGGAGAGACAGAGGCTGTTCTACAGTAGTAACCAGGTAAATATATACCATCAGGGCGAGACAGAGGCTGTTCTACAGTAGTAACCAGGTAAATATATACCATCAGGGAGAGACAGAGGCTGTTCTACAGTAGAGACAGAGGCTAATCAGGGTAAATAAATATATACCATCAGGGCGAGACAGAGGCTGTTCTACAGTAGTAACCGGGTAAATATATACCATCAGGGAGGGACAGAGGCTGTTCTACAGTAGTAACCAGGTAAATATATACCATCAGGGCGAGACAGAGGCTGTTCTACAGTAGTAACCGGGTAAATATATACCATCAGGGCGAGACAGAGGCTGTTCTACAGTAGTAACCAGGTAAATATATACCATCAGGTTAGGGATAATGTCAGAGTTGGGGTTAGGGGTATTATCAAGGTTAAGGTTAGGGGTATTATCACGGTTAAGGTTAGAGGTAATATCAGGGTTAGGTTAGGGGTATTGTTAGGGTTAAGGTTAGTGATAATATCAGGGTTACGGTTAGGAATAATATCAGGGTTAAGGTTAGGGATAATATCAGGGTTAAGGTTAGCGGTATTATTGGGGGCTAGTTTGACGGAATATCAAGGTCAAGGTTAGAGGTAATTTCGGCGCAAAGGTTGAGTGTAATATCGGAATTAAGGCTATGAGTAATATCGGGGATAATGATGATTGTAGTATGGAGGATAATGATGGTGGTAATATCGGGGTTAAGTTCGGGGTTATAGAAAGGTAAAGTCGTGAAGATATCAGAGCTAGCTTTAAGATTAACAAAATTAGTGTTGTAAATCATAACAATAATGAAACTAATCAGTATTTATGATATATATGTGATGTCTCATAATCTCTTAACAAGTTTGACATAACTGTTTATTATTCCCGCCATTATGATAAAACATCCTTGGCGTGTCACGGTAAATATCAGTCAAAATGAAAATTCTCAAACACGTTTAAGCAAATACTGGAATCGGCACAATAATGATGTTTTCTGATTCAACTGGCCTTGTTTAATTAAACACAGGAAAGGGTCTTCAAGCATGCTCGCATTTCTTCGTCCTTCTGATAAACTTGATATGAGAAATAACAAAGGGAAATAAAGAAAAGGGCGGGGGGGGGGGAGGGAGTATTCACCAGTACTTAAGAAGCACATCCAGTAAGTTGTTATGGCTACTGAAGTATGATAAAAAAAATACAGATCACGCGTCGTCAATACATGTATATTTATCACTTAAATCACGGACTTGGGTGTTAAAATGATAACGAAATTTTATTCGGCTTACCTCCCTTCCTCCCTCTCTCAACAAACGTGTGTTTAAGAGGCACAGTTTATTTCTATTTGGTATGCTGGCTGATTCGGGACATCGTAAAATCGCTTTGTTTAATGGGATATTGCGATAACACGATACCACGATGCGATATCACGATATCTCATCGCACTATCGTGGTCTCGCATCGCGCTATCGTGTTGTCGCTTCTTTCTATCGTGATATCGAAATATCGCTTCCCATTAAACGAAGCGATATTACGATGTCCCGAATCAGCCAACATAATTTGGCAATAATCCATGAATAGAAGGTGTGCGGTTGGTTTGATGGTTAAAAAAACAAACAAATTTTCTTCTGACTGTCACAAGTAAAAAATACGTGATTTTAAAAATCACATATTTTGAATGTGAGGAAACCGTTATTATTTAAGAATACACGAGCAAAATATCAGTGTTACTATATTTTTGGAGGGGAGGTAGGGGGGGGGGGGCGAGGGGATCAACAAATAATTCGTTGTAGATATTCATCCTGCACATTCTCGTCCTTTACAGCAAGTCTGACTACACAATCTATATATGACTAATATTGAATATTATCTTACATTCCGCTGTTTACATAATTGAACACTATATCAATTAAAAGACATCTAGCTACAGTGGGCCCCAGAAATGACATTCTAACACGTAACGAGGAAACCCAATACAAACGACCCTCGGAATTTAACTCTCACATTCATTATAATGTGCATTTTGACCTCGAGTACCCGCGGTTCAGAACAGCTAATAAACATAATTGGTTGATCTATTCCCGATTTAGACAGCTTGTAAATAATGATTGGTTGTAAGTAATTCTAACAGTGTCTTAGGCAGCATTGATCTCCTGTACATACTGACCGATCCGATTAAAGACGTTATCCTATTCTGGATACGAGAGCAGATATCAACAAACTCTTACATTAAAAAGAAAACAGTTATTTGTAATTTCATTATGTAAAGGATCAATCTAAGCTTCAAGGTAAGATAACCTTGAGCTATTAGCCCGACAATTAAGATAACGTTATAAGTCTGCCTGGCATGTTTATTTGTTTGAAATCTTTGTAATTCTATTTGAAGTCAAATCCATGAGAAATACAGACATAGTCATGAACAATTACGGAGAATACTTAAGACATTTAAAAGCTAATTCCACAGATAAACTTTTCGTGACTTTTATTTATTTGCATTGACAAAGAGTCATGTTTAAGTATTTCCAAAACAGAAGTAGATATATTTAAGGAGAGAACTGTAGTCACGTGTACAGATTACACTAAGTATTAATTCAGTTGAAGAAGTTGAACCAAAGTATGGAGAATGGTTTCTGTGCTGTGTGCTGTTTTGGCGTATAAACAGTTCACTAACACCACGCTTAATTTAATTAACTCGGTTAGAGACGTATTTTCAATAATGTTCAGCTTCTGATGCTATTTTGCGGGAAGTGACGTCACTTTGAGAGTGCTTGAATGGCGGCCATGATGCAAATGTCAATATTTCCGTACTGATCACACTTGGTATGTGACAGTTGAAATGGCAACTACACCTGTGTGTGCAACTTTATGTGAAGTAGCGTATGATTCTGATCACAGGCTTACACCATATCGATACCAATTTTGGAATTCGCCACCGAAAACCAGCGTTCATTTCAGCGGTAAAGACGTGGATCAAACAGAAAGCACTTCTGCACATTCTGGTTTTGAGTCGCCGGATTGGGCGAATACATTCAGTTTACCATCATCATCTTGTACAGGCTCATATCTGGATTATCTTCGTACACTATATGAATGTAAAAGTTCTTGTTCTTCAAAATCATCAAAAACACATAGAGTGAGTAAGGCATTTTATACTTCCGAAGCGTTCTTAGTTTGAAATTTTGCTACAATCACTTCGAATTGCAAATAGAACAAGAATTATTTTGCTGGTAGCACATTTGGCATGTTTTATATTTTTTGGAAAAGTCTTGCAATAGATTAAGGTATGTATGTTTCATTAAAAATATTAAAAACGAAGTTGAACTTAGTAGATTCTGCTCATCTGTTCATCCTGGAAACAGGTTGTTAGTGGACTGTTTGTATGTTAATCGTCATTCAGTTGTCGTTATTATACTGGTGTCAATTGAAAAAAAATCATTGCAAGGACCAAAGAGGTGAAAAGCTTACAATAGTATAGACTAGCACTTGTAGGGTAGTTGTATTCTTTCAGGGTAATTTCAGGACTGGCCATCATTCAGCTAGATCCTCGTACATCCCTACACAAGTGTCCCCAAGAGTCACTCCTGCAGCCTATGGATATGCTGATAATCGCCCAAAAACTGCCTCCATACCTCCAACCCAGCCCCTTGTACCCCAGCAACAGTACTCCCTCCCAGCCCTTCATCATGGCAGAGCCTGGGGGCTTGGGGAGGAAGAGGGACGTGAGGACGGGGAAGGTGACAACAAACCAGATGATCGTCTTGTGTGGGTTGATGCCCTTGGTAAATGGATTCCAGAAAATCAGGTAAGGTTTTCAAAATGTTTAAATAGAAAACTGCTCATTTAGACAACGAAAAATGTAAGCTAGACAAAACTACTTGTATTAGCTTTATACATGATACAAATCTGATGTATATGGTTGTGTTCAGAAAAAAAATGAAATTTCTTTATCTGAAAATTTGTCAGGTTTTTGAAGAGTCTAAATGCCAAAAAGAGGATTTTTATGGTACATGTTCTGAACAGTAAAAGAGTAATTAATCAGAAAACGATACAATCTTGATCAACTGTGTCTGTTATTGCCTTATGTGTTATTCACTGTTTAAAATTATTTCTGCAGATCATTGAGATAAAAATAGACATATATGTAACAATAAACCAATAATCCTCAATGTTATATATTTGATATCTCGTTGTATATTTTTGTCAATACTTTAGACTATAGAGTTGTCCTGGGGTATGTTTTGCTGTCAAGGTCTGGTTTATTATAATAATATTTTAGGTCTTCTCTAGGGTGTGAATAAAAACTGTAATGTCCTTGGTAGGAGTACTCTGATATTGTGAATTCTGAACTGCTTGGGAAGGTGAACTAGATAAATGTCCTTGCTAAGTGTATATTTCCAGGATTGTAAACAAGTGATGGTTAGGGCCTTGTTTATTGCATGGGAATGTGAATTGAAGATTTTGTTTAGTCTATCTCGGAGTATTGTGAATTAAAGGATGATTTCATTCTTACAACCCCCAACCCATGCTCCATATCTACATGTGAGCATCCTTTTCTCCAAAAGCTTGTGGAGCAGTCAACAATGCCAAATCAGTATTTAGGATTGGTAATGAAAACCGCCCTATCCACACAGGGGTTTCAACTAGCAGCCTTTTTGGTCTCTTGGTGAACATTCTACCACATGACTATGTGAAATTTCCCACCACTAACTCTTACAGGTGGTTTCCAGGGGAGTGTGAATTGTAATGATGGTTTAGTCTATATACAAAGGGAACGATAACTGATGGTTTATTCCTTAGTATGTCTATTCTTGTGAGTGTGAATTTTCTAAGTCCGTCTGTGAGTGTGAATTTTCCTTGCTAGGTGTGTCTGTGAGTGAGAGGTGTTCTTGCTAGTGATCTGTGACTGCAGTGAAGTGTCTTTGCTAGGTGTGTCTGTGAGTGAGAGGTGTCCTTGCTTGGTGTCTTTGACTGCAGTGAAGTGTCTTTGCTAGGTGTGTCTGTGAGTGAGAGGTGTCCTTGCTTGGTGTCTGTGACTGCAGTGAAGTGTCTTTGCTAGGTGTGTCTGTGAGTGAGAGGTGTCCTTGCTAGTGATCTGTGACTGCAGTGAAGTGTCTTAGCTAGGTGTGTCTGTGAGTGAGAGGTGTCCTTGCTTGGTGTCTGTGACTGCAGTGAAGTGTCTTTGCTAGGTGTGTCTGTGAGTGAGAGGTGTCCTTGCTAGTGATCTGTGACTGCAGTGAAGTGTCTTAGCTAGGTGTGTCTGTGAGTGAGAGGTGTCCTTGCTAGTGATCTGTGACTGCAGTGAAGTGTCTTAGCTAGGTGTGTCTGTGAGTGAGAGGTGTCCTTGCTTGGTGTCTGTGACTGCAGTGAAGTGTCTTTGCTAGGTGTGTCTGTGAGTGAGAGGTGTCCTTGCTAGTGATCAGTGACTGCAGTGAAGTGTCTTAGCTAGGTGTGTCTGTGAGTGAGAGGTGTCCTTGCTAGTGATCTGTGACTGCAGTGAAGTGTCTTTGCTAGGTGTGTCTGTGAGTGAGAGGTGTCCTTGCTTGGTGTCTTTGACTTCAGTGAAGTATCTTTGCTAGGTGTGTCTATGAGTGAGAGGTGTCCTTGCTTGGTGTCTTTGACTTCAGTGAAATGTCTTTGCTAGTTGTGTCTGTGAATGAGAGGTGTCCTTGCTTGGTGTCTTTGACTGCGGTGAAGTGTCTTTGCTAGGTGTGTCTGTGAGTGAGAGGTGTCCTTGCTTGGTGTCTGTGACTGCAGTGAAGTGTCTTTGCTAGGTGTGTCTGTGAGTGAGAGGTGTCCTTGCTAGTGATCTGTGACTGCAGTGAAGTGTCTTAGCTAGGTGTGTCTGTGAGTGAGAGGTGTCCTTGCTTGGTGTCTTTGACTTCAGTGAAGTATCTTTGCTAGGTGTGTCTATGAGTGAGAGGTGTCCTTGCTTGGTGTCTTTGACTTCAGTGAAATGTCTTTGCTAGGTGTGTCTGTGAATGAGAGGTGTCCTTGCTTGGTGTCTTTGACTGCGGTGAAGTGTCTTTGCTAGATGTGTCTGTGAGTGAGAGGTGTCCTTGCTAGTGATCTGTGACTGCAGTGAAGTGTCTTTGCTAGGTGTGTCTGTGAGTGAGAGGTATCCTTGCTAGTGATCTGTGACTGCAGTGAAGTGTCTTTGCTAGGTGTGTCTGTGAGTGAGAGGTGTCCTTGCTTGGTGTCTTTGACTTCAGTGAAGTATCTTTGCTAGGTGTGTCTATGAGTGAGAGGTGTCCTTGCTTGGTGTCTTTGACTTCAGTGAAGTGTCTTTGCTAGGTGTGTCTGTGAGTGAGAGGTGTCCTTGCTTGGTGTCTTTGACTTCAGTGAAGTATCTTTGCTAGGTGTGTCTATGAGTGAGAGGTGTCCTTGCTTGGTGTCTTTGACTGCGGTGAAGTGTCTTTGCTAGGTGTGTCTGTGAATGAGAGGTGTCCTTGCTTGGTGTCTTTGACTGCGGTGAAGTGTCTTAGCTAGGTGTGTCTGTGAGTGAGAGGTGACATTGCTTGGTGTCTTTGACTTCAGTGAAGTGTCTTTGCTAGGTGTGTCTTTGAGTATGCATTGTCCTTGTGAAGTCTGTGAATGTTAAATGTCTTTAGTAGATCTATCTATGAGAGTGCATTTCCTTGCTATGTCTGTCTGTGACTTTGAAATGTCCTGATGTCCTAATGTGTCTGTGAATGTGAAATGCTATTCTAAAGTCTGTATAGATTTTTCTTGCTAGATCTATTTGTGAATTTGAGTTTTCCATGCAAAGTCTGTGAGGGTGAAGTTCACATGTGAAAGCTATTTGTGAGTGTGGGGTATCCTTGCTAGGTCTGTGTATGAGTGTTAAATGCCCTTGTGAAAATTGTTTGTGAGTGTGAAGTGGTCTTGCGAAGTCTGTATACATTTTTTTTTCTAGGTCTGTTTGTGAGTGGTGAATTTTATTGGGAAGTCTATGTTTATTTTCATTGTTAGGTCGGTCTGTGAGTATGAAATTCCCTTACAAAACCTGTGGGTATGAATTTTTCTTGCTACATTGTTTGTGATTGTGAATTTTCCTTATGAAGTTGATTTCCATCGTTTGGTTTGTTTAGGAGTGTGAATTTTCCTTGCCTAGTCCGTGAGAGTGAAGTGCCCTTGTGAAGCCAATTTGGGAGTGTGAAGTGTCTTTGCGAAGTCTTTGAGTGTGAATTAAGTGATAGTGTGGTTATCATTGTATAAAGATATACCTGTATTTGATCAGATTATCCTGTTACACTGTGACAGGTTTTATTAAAAATGTGATAAATGATCATGTGATTAAGGTACCTAAGCTGTGTGTGTCCATTTTACTTTCTAATATCTTTACTCAGCATTTCTACACAGTGTATACATGACAAGTGTGGTCAGTACGTCTAAGTGTCCATTAAGCTGTATGTACCTTTAAAACTGCAGCATAATGGTGGCATGATCTTGTTTATAAATCTAACCATTTGGTTTCATTGATATTGTGAAATCTTTGACAGTACAAAGTAATTTCTTCAAGTACCTGTAAACTAAAGGTTAACAGTTCTTAAATCTCTCCTGTTTTTAAAATGTTATCATCACAACATTTTAAAACCAGACCGGTCTGTACCTAAAAATGAATAAAACTTGGTGTGGTTTTATTTGTGATGGGAAGGAGTTTGGTGATAGTAATACACTATTAGACCACTGATTAACATACAGGAATGAAGCAATTTATTATAGCATGTGCTATATATTCAACAGCATTGATTGCCAACCAATTAAATCTTAAATATTTTTTTGTTTACTGTTTCAATATGATACATGTCAATAATTTTCATTTATTTTCTCTATAATAAAAAAGAAAACCTTGTAATCCTAGATAACTTTCTGTAATTGATGATTGTTTTGAATATTTCCATACCATATTATTACACCTGTATGTATTCTGTGAGATGTACAGGTAATGCTGTACACCTGTATGTATTCTGTGAGATGTACAGGTAATGCTGTACACCTGTATGTATTCTGTGAGATGTAATGCTGTACACCTGTATGTAATGCTAATGCTACACCTGTATGTATTCTGTGAGATGTACAGGTAATGCTGTACACCTGTATGTATTCTGTGAGATGTACAGGTAATGCTGTACACCTGTATGTATTCTGTGAGATGTACAGGTAATGCTGTACACCTGTATGTATTCTGTGAGATGTACAGGTAATGCTGCATACTCGTATGTATTCTGGTAGATATTGTACACTGTATACATGTAAGTACTGTATATACAGGTATATAGGTACACCTCAGTATACACTGTATACATGTAAGTACTGTATATACAGGTATATAGGTACACCTCAGTATACACTGTATACATGTAAGTACTGTATATACAGGTATATAGGTACACCTCAGTGTACACTGTATACATGTAAGTACTGTATTTCTATATATGTTGTATTTAGATGATATACAGGTATATAGGTACACCTCAGTGTACACTGTATACATGTAAGTACTGTATTTCTATACATTGTGTTTTGTATTTACATGATATACAGGTATATAGGTACACCACAGTATACACTGTATACATGCAAGTACTGTATATACAGGTATATAGGTACACCTCAGTGTACACTGTATACATGTAAGTACTGTATATACAGGTATATAGGTACACCTCAGTGTACACTGTATACATGTAAGTACTGTATTTCTATATATGTTGTATTTAGATGATATACAGGTATATAGGTACACCTCAGTGTACACTGTATACATGTAAGTACTGTATTTCTATATATGTTGTATTTAGA